GTCTTTCATGAAATAAACCCAGATATTCTTAACAGGATAATTAGAATTCAGTAATATATATATATCAAGTAGAGTTTATTCCAAGGTTGCAAAGCTGGTTCACTATTTGAATATCAGTCAGTGTGATCCACTATATTAATAGGCTAAAGAAGAAAAATCTCATGATTGTATCCATCAATGCAGTAAAAGCATTTGAAAAATGTCACCATTCATTCATGATAAAACTAGCAGGAAAAAAAAAAAAAAACCTGACGGATAAATAGGAATAGAAAGGCAGTGCCTCAAATTGATAAAAGAGCAACTATAGAAAATACTATACTTAATGGTAAGAGACTAAACGCTATCCCCCGAAGATTGAGAACAAAGTAAGAATGTTTCCTTTCATCACATTTATTCAGTATAGTGTTGGCAATTCCAATCAGTGCATTAAGATGAAAAAAGGAAAAGACACAGAAAGGAAGAGATAAAACTATCCCTGCTTACAAATGATATAATAATGTATAAAATCCCAAGGAATGCATCTTCCCCCCCTAAATTTTTGGAATCAATAAATATATTCTGTAATATTTTAGGATACAAGGTAAGTGTACAAACATTAATTTTTATATTTAGAAATATTTAGGACATTTCTGTATACTAGCAGGGAATATATAGACACAAACTGAAAAAGCATTACCATTTATAATCACACATATACACACAAGAAATACTTAGTTGTAAATGTAACAAACCTTGTACAGGATTTTTATGCTGAATGCTGTAGAATACTAGTGAAAGAAATCAGAGAAGATCTAAATAAATGGAACAATATATCATGTTCATGGATTGGACAGCATAGTAAAGATGAGTGCCCTCACGTGTCAAGTGTCCTCAAATTGATCTACATATTTAATATAATTCCTGTCAAAATCCTAGGAAGACTTTTTTGTAGATAAAAGCAAGTTTATTCTAGAACTCAGAAGGAAAGATAAAGAACCTGAATAAATAAAAACAATTTATTAAAAGAATGGAGTAGGAGTCATCAGTTTACCTGATTTCAGGACTGACTTTATAGCTACAGTTATCAAAACATATAGTATTGGCAGAGGGATAGACAAATAGATTGATGAAACAGAATAGGGAACCCAGATATGGACCCATACAAATATACCCAACTGATTTTTGACATAGGTGCAAAAGCAATTTAATAGAGGAAGGACAGACTTTTCAGCAAATGGTTTTAGAACAGTTAAGATATTCATAGGTGAAAAAAGTTAACCTTGACCTAAATCTTATGCTTTTTACAAGAATGAACTTGAAATGAATCATGACATATAAAACACTTTTTAACTCTTAGCAAAAATCATGGGAACAAATCTTTAGGAGGAAATCTTTAGGATCTTGAGCTAGACAATAATTTCTTATACTTAACACTAAAAGCACAATTCATAAAAGGAAAGTTGATAAGTTCGATTTCATCAAAATTTTTTTGGTTTGCTCTGCATAGACCTTATGAAGAGGATGAAAAGACAAGTAACAAAGTGGGAGAGAATATTTGCCAAACACATATCTGAAAAGGACTAGTATCTGGAATATATAAAGAACTCCCCAAACTGAAAATTTAAAAAACAGACAATTCAGTTAGAAAATGAGTAAAAGACATTCCACTGAAGATGACATACAAATGGAAAATAAGCCATGAAAAGATTTTTAACATCATTCATTAACCATTAGATATAATGTAAAGTAAAACCCAATGAGCTATCACTACATACCTATTAAATAGCTAAAATAAAAAATAGCAACAACACCAAATAGCCTGTATGGATGCAGAGAAACTGGATCACTCATACATTGTTGATGAGATGTAAAATGACATAGTCACTCTGTAAAACAGTTTGGCAGTTTCTCAAAAAACTAAATATTCAGCTACCATACAACTTAGCAATTACATTCCTGAATATTTATCTTAGAGGTAAAAGTTGATGTTTATACACCTGCACATGAATGTAAATAGCAGTTTTATTCATAATACTTAAAGCTAGAAACAACCCAGATGTTCATTGGGTGAATGGTGAAACAAACAGTGGTAAAATCCATACCATGGAATACTACTCAGCAATAAAAAGGAATGAACTACAGTAGTGCCCCCCCCCCTTATTTGCAGAGGAAATGTTCCAAAACCCGCAGTGGATTCCTGAAACCACAGATAGTACTGCACCCTATATATACCGTGTTTTTTGCCTATACATACATACCTATGATAAAGGGTAATTTTTAAATTAGACACAGTAAGATATTAACAGTAATAATAAAATATGACAATTACAACAATATATATAATAAAAGTTATGTAAAAGGTCTGTCTCTCAAAATATCTTGTACTTCATTCACCCTTGTGATGATGTGAGATGATAAAATGCCTACCTGATGAGATGAAGTGAGATGAATGATGTAGGCACTGTGACATAGCTTTAGGCTACTATTGACCTATGGATGATAGGTCAGAAGGAGGATCATCTGCTTCCAGACCATGGTTGATTGAGGGTAACTGAAACCATGAATTGGGGGTGAAGGCAGGGACTACTGTTTTGGTTTACATAACAATCTGGATTGATCACCAAAGAATTATGCTGATTGAAAAAACCCAATCCCAAATAGCTTCATTCCATTTATATATTTTATTATTTTATTTATATAATATTCTTGAAATGCCAAAAATATAGAAATAGAGATTAGATTAGTGGTTGTCAGGGGTTAAAGAGGGGAGGAAAGGGAAGGAAGTGGGTGTAGTTATATAAGAGCAACAGAGGATGGCAATGGACATGTCCCATATCCTGATTATATCAATGTCAATATCCTATTTATGACAGTACTTTAATTTTACAAGAAATTGCCGTTGGAGAAATTAGGTAACAGGTACAGAGGATCTCTCTGTATTATTTATTACAACTTCATGTACATTTAAAGTTACCTCAAAATAAAAGTTTAATTAAAGAAAAAAGAATATGGTGGAAGGTACTTTTGGTGAAATAAGTGAGACTGAGGTAGAAATGTATTTTGTAAAGCTTTTGAATACCAAAATGAATTTTGGATTTAATTTTTTAGGTAATAAGGAACTGAAAAAAATTTTTGATTATGGGTGTAGCACAAAGTAAATAAATAGAAAATTACTCTAGTCACAGTAGATAAAATAAATTGTCTTGCATATACAATTATGGATTATAACAATATTTCACAGAGATCTTCTAAAATACCTTAATGTTTGGAAGTTATTTTTTTAAATAGCAAAACCTTAAAATAAAACCTTAAACCAATATATCAATAGTTTAAAAAGTAACAGCATTGTGAAATTACCTGGAATACTCTATTTAGTATATAGAGGTAAATCCTAAAACTGATATTATTGGAATTACAACTCTGGCAGATATTGATAGATACGCTTCTTTTTTAGGTATTGGTTAATACCTTGGTGTTGTTTGTAAGTACATTGTTTGGATCTCTGATCATACTTTCCGGTTAGAGCAACATTATAAATGATTGCTATATTTCTGAATCATAGATCTGTTTGAGAATCTAAAGAAAGTTTTGGACCATCTCCTCAGATAAATGGATCATCCAACTAATTTTTCATACCTTGGGGTTCACAGACCATCTGAAAGCTATCTCTGAATCCCAGGTTTTAGAATCTCCATCAGAAGAAAAGTTCGAGTATATGGGTATAATTAATTTCAGCATGATACGTAATCATCCAAAAACAACTACCTAATGAGCATCTGTTTGCTTGTATGGTACCTATGGCAGCTACCACATGGGATCCAAAAAGTATTTTTAAAATATCCCATATTACAGAAGGCTTACAAACTACTTTAAGAAGTAAGCTATATTTATGAAATGAAATGATTATTAGAAGTGTCAGAATGAGAATAGGGTAATTCCTACTTTTAGATCAAAACATTACAACTTTTGTTAATTGCCTCAAGAAGACATTTTGGTAACCAATGTAGCACTGCCTCTTTTGGACACAGGAGTATGAGATGGGAAATAGAATTCTTTATAAGTAAATATCACAAAACTAACAAAGTGAGATAGGAATATTAGAGACTATCTGGATCCATTCACAAGCAAATTCAGACTTTATACTGGACCATGGAGATATTTCAGTGAAGACATAGACACCCTCCCTACCCTCATGGAGTTTACAGTTTTAAGAGGAATAAATTGTTAATGAATAAAATGAAAAATAGCTCACTCTGGGCTGGAGTGTACAAAAACAGTTTTACAATGTCTGTTGAATAGAATATACTTACTATGCTAAAAAATTTTTGACCTTGAACGAGTATCCTAACCTTTTTGAACCTCAGGAGGCTCATCTGTAAAGTAGGAATAATAATAAATAATGTAATAACATACTGGTTTCAGAGCCTGGCAGTTGGTAGCTACTGCTATTATTATTGGTTTGAGTAGCACTAATGAATGACTAGATTAGGATATTCAAAAGAAGCAGGATATTAAAGGATGGAACACAATAGTAAGAAAGCAAGATGAACATTCCTTTATGTTCAAGATAGTAGGGAGACTTAGCAGTCTCATATAAAAATTTGTATCAGGAGATAATATGTATAATTGCAAGCAATGTATAAATTTAATGTATAAACCTTTTTTAAGGGGGAAGGGGCAGAGGGAGAGGGAGAGAGAGAATCTTAAGCAGGCTCCACACCCAGCACGGAGCCCTCCACAGGCTCAATCTCATGACCCTAAGATCATGACCTGAGCCGAAATCAAGAGTCTGACACTTAACCAACTGAGTCACCCAGGTGCCATTAATGTATAAACCTTTAAGAGAAATTGTTACTGTTTTACTATTTTCTTGATTAGCCTGAAGTAGGATTTGTTTTGTTTTATTTTGTTTTTTTGGGTTTTTTTGTTGTTGTTGTTAATAGGACAGTAGCTTTTATATGGGGAAGTCTTTTTATAATATAAAAACTTTGCTTACCAACTTTTACTCTTTACCTTTTCAGAGATTGGAAATGCTTATGCTGTTTTAAGCAATCCAGAAAAACGAAAACAATATGACCTCACAGGCAATGAAGAACAAGCATGTAATCACCAAAACAATGGTAGATTTAATTTCCATCGAGGTTGTGAAGCGGATATAACTCCCGAAGACTTATTTAATATATTCTTTGGTGGTGGATTTCCCTCAGGTATTTTAATGTTAGTCGTAAATATTATATTTTATGAAGCTAGAGATTCTCACCTCCAGTTAGGCTATTTAGAGATTTATCTACCTTCTCCACTACATTTCTTATAGTATTATGATCCTCTGATGATTTTTCATGAAGATCAAAAAAAGTGTTAGACTTATGACCTTTACTGTAAGTTTGCCTTTTTTCTAGAACATGTTTTAATTTTTTTAAAAAAGAAATGAGTACAGATATTCTCTATTTTATATAAAGCTGAAGAAAGGATGTATAAGGAGGAAATCCAGTAGCAATGTCTTAGTTAAGTGCTATTTACAATCACAGGAGGTATCCCATACCCTAGATGATAATTTGACATTGGTTCTCTGAAGAGCTAGGTAGGTACTTCATTCATAACATTGTAATTGCTAATTTGGATGCATATGGAGGTACTTTCCATTGAAATATTAAAATGTCTGATTCATAGGTTATATATAAAGTAAAGGTTTTTAAAATTATATTGAGACAGAAATAATTAGTTGAACTAGGCTATCAAAGTAAAATACTGTGGAGGTACTACTAAATGAACTGGTTTTATAGTACCAGCATAAGTTGTATTGAACTCTACTTATATTTACTATGAGTTCTGTGAAAATTAATTTTCTTTAAGAATAGCTGCTATAGATAGTTAAAATTATCGCTCCAGTCATGTTTACAACGTTTATTTAAATGCTAAGTTAAACATTCGATTCAAAATTAGGAGAATCTTTATGAATGTGGCAATATACTTTGGTCTAATGGCTCTATCAGAGTATTATTGAGAAAGATTATGGTCATTGATAGGACATTTTGTAAAGCATCCTTGAAGGAAAGAGAATGTGTAAATACAAATTAATGGCTGAAAATATAGCATATATTTTGACATATTAAGATATATAATTACTTCTCACAGAAAAATTATTGAAACTAGTAGTTTTGACGGAAAATATGCTAGGAACAATCAGAAATCTTTCAGGTAGTAGTGAATTTTGAGTTACAGTTCTTTTGCTTATTGTAACATAATTTACTTTGTGTCAGTATTTCTAATTGCTCACCTTATTTGAAAACAACCTAAAAGTCTATCAGCAGCAGAATGTTTGTATAAATTGTCCATCTCTACCATAGTATATTATACGAGTATTTTATACTCATTTTTTTTAAATGAGTTAGAGCACAGTCTTGATTTCTAGAGGTATTTGTGATTCATTGATAAATGAGGAAAGCAGAGTTTCAGAGTGATGACCCAAGATTTGTAAAAACAACCAACCACAACTAAAGTCCTTTATGGATGCCATATCAGGTAGGAACTCTTATTCAAGTTTTCGTAAAGAAAGAACTTCTACTTTTTAATTTTTTTAATTTTTATTTTTTTAAAGATTTTATTTATTTATTTATTTACTTACTTACTTACTTCCTTACTTCCCATTTGTTCTTTCCCATCTGTTCCTCTATTTTGTTTCTTAAATTCTACATATGAGAACTTCTACTTTAAAGGAAGCAAAGTCTGGGAAGAATGATTTCTGTTTCCATCCACCCTTTACTCACAGGAGGAAAGGGCAATAAGCATTCACTACTCTAACTCACAAAACATGCATTATTTTAGTAGTTTAAACAAATTAATAAAAATGTAAAAGAAGGGGCACCTGGGTGGCTCAGTTGGTTAAGCTTCTGCCTTTGGCTCAGGTCATGATCCCAGGGTCCTGGGATTGAGCTGCACTGAGCTCCCTGCTCAGCGGGGAGTCTTGCTTCTCCCTCTGCCCCTTCCCCTGCTTGTGTTCTCTCTCTTGCTCACTCTCAAATAAATAAATAAAATCTTTAAAAAAATGTAAAAGAAAATATGGTTTTTCTGATCACAGTTACTCTCCTTAATTTAACCTTGCTTTTAATTTTTTAGGTAGTGTACATTCATTTTCAAATGGACGAGCTGGTTATAGCCATCAACATCAGCATCGACATAGTGGACATGAAAGAGAAGAAGAAAGAGGAGATGTATGTTTATGATATCATTAGAAATCTCAAAATGGCAAATTTCAGCTCAGGAAAAGCAATTAGAGGTGTCTGAAAATAGGGCAAGTTGTTTTAAAAGGAAATAAGGAGTTTTCTCATACTAGATGTATTCAATAGAGACTAGACAGTTTTTAGGGTTACTAAGGGAGCAGGGATAGAAGTCAAGGTGGAGGGTGGTGGGCAAAATGATACCTCTGAGTTTGGTGTTCTGTGATTCTGATGAAGATACCCCTGCAGTATGCATGCTTTGAAGTTCTCATTGTTGGTCCTAAAACATTTAGAACTAATACTGAAGAACTTAAGTTGGAAGTTACTTTCCTTGTTCTAATGCAGTTGTACCCAATTGCACATAGCACTTAAATGACATGGAGTAGAAAGAAGGTAAATGGAAAGAACACTGGACCAAAAAATGAAAGGCCTGGGTCCCACCTCTGCCACTCATCTGCTCCCGCATATCGTCCTCAAAGTCAAGGGAAAGATAGTTTTGCGAGAGAGACAGAGAAGTTCCTCATTTGTAACATGAGATCAGTTTGTATCAGTGTTTTCCAAATCGGGATCTCTGCATAAAGCACCTGGAAAGTGGTAATTTTAAGAATCACTCCAGGAAGCTGGTATGATCAGATTTGAAAGCACTGAACCAGATGATCTCAAATGTCCTTTCTGTCTCTAAAAATATATGACAACTGTTGGATTATTAACAACTACACTTATATTACAATTTATTGTTTTTTGATGATTTTTTGTAGGGAGGTTTTTCTGTGTTTATCCAGCTGATGCCCATTATTGTATTGATCCTCGTGTCATTATTAAGCCAGTTGATGGTCTCTAATCCTCCTTATTCCCTATACCCCAGATCGTAAGTAGCCAAGTGAAGTTTACAAAACCTGTTGCTTCCTATCTAGCTTCCTTTAAAGGGCCAGGTGCTCTCTCCAACTTTTAAGTAATCTTCTGTAAGTGTGTCAGATTTTTAAATTTCTAATTTAAAAGATAGTTACTCAAGTGATAAGTTTGTATTATCTTGTTAGTTACATTTCTGTGCCATTGTGGATAAAGACAGAAGTACTATTTTCGAACCTGATAGCAACTTAATGTGATAGGTAATATGTTGAAATCAAAGGCAAAAAATAGTTTAAAAGACAAAAATACTTCAAAGACAAAAGTAGAATTGTAATTGATGTTATATAGATTTATATGATTGAGGGGTATATGACTTCATTCTTTTCTTTGTAAAATATTGGTTAAAGAAAAGCAATTAGTTTTTTGTTATAGGAAGTATTTTTCCACAATACATTTAACCACAAGAGATCAGGACAAAAAGGAAATTTAACACAATACGCATTCTAGAAAACTTTAGTGAATATAGTGAACATAAAGAAAACTTGGTAAAATCATATTGCCAGTGATCTTACAATATTAAAAACAGATTGGTCTAAAAATAAGAAATAACTTTTTATTTCTAAATAAGATTTTTATTAAATAAAAATTGAAAGAACTTATAAGAACACACTATATTAAAATATGATTACTTTTTATGACGTGGATGGTGGTTTTAGGCAATTTGAAATAATGTAAATACATGATTATCAATATTAACTCTTTAATTACTTTTAATTGTTTTTGTTAGCTTGGTTTGTAGTAGCAGGATCAAATTGTACAATTTTAATTCAAAAATAATGATCAAGCATTTCTTTTACAGTGGATCAGGGCAAACTATTAAAATGCAAACAGAAAACTTGGGTGTCGTTTACTATGTCAACAAGGACTTTAAAAATGAATATAAAGGAATGTTATTACAAAAAGTAGAAAAGAGTGTGGAAGAAGATTATGTGACTAATATTCGAAATAATTGCTGGAAAGAAAGACAACAAAGTAAGTTTATGAAATGTTTAACATTTAAAAACTTACTCAAAGTCTTCAGAGTCTTCAGAATTGATTATTGTAGATTTCTCTATTCAAGAAATGTTCTAGAATTTCCTGGCACATAATTGGAGCTCAATACTTAAGACACTATGTTTTATGTGGCCTTAAGACAGTATTCAGCACATAGCAAGCATTTAGTCAATGGTATTTGTAGTGGTGTTATCGAAAAATATTTGGTTGAATGAGTGAATAATACCAAATTCCATTTTATTTAAGATGTTGTCAATTGTAACATGCATCATTATTTTATGTACCACTAAGAAAAAAAAATTCTGGCCCATTAGCTATGTCACCAGTTTTAATATGCATCCTGTTTCAGAGTGAAGTTTGAAACTCTTCATTAATTTAGCTCAAACATTTAACACTTAATGTATAATGAGTTCTGTTGACATTCCATTTTCCTTTATTCTGTACATAACTGGGAACACTTAGTGAATTTGTTTAGTCTTTTCCAGCCTCACTTCTGTAACTTAAGAAGCAGTTCCACCTATAAAAGCTTGACCATAAGAATCTACGGGGATGCTGCATGTGAAGCTAGTGTTGTTATGGTTATTGTTTTTCTGACTGTTAAAATAATAATGTAGACAATATAGTGTAGACTTTGGAATTAAACTAATGTTGAATCCTAGCTCTGAAATTTTTAGCTGAGTGATTAGGGCCAAATATTGTAACCTGTTTGCGTTTACTCCCTCAAGTGTAAAATGGATGATGATGAGGAGTGGGAGGAGGCGATCACTGTCATTTATATAATACCTCTTATTTCAGTCACTGTCCTAAGCACTTTACATATATTAACTCATTTAATCTCCACAACGACACTGTGAAGTTATACCCATTTTATATATAAGGAAACTGAGGCAAAGAGAATTTAGTAACTTGCCCAGGGCCATAGAGGTAGTCCATGATTCAAACAGTCCATTTGTCTCCAGAATCCAGGCACTGTGCTCCACAGTCTTCTCAATAATACCCAACTTTGCCAGTTTGTTGTGAAAACTAAATCAGACAATAAAGTGTTTCACAGGTAGTAAAATGCCCCGAAAATGGTAGCCGTTATCATCATCTCTCATCCACTAGGGAAAATCCGATAAAACATAATTTTTATATAGTTCCAAGAAAGTTCTTATCTCTGGCCTCGGTTTCCTCATCTATATTCTATATGGTGGCAGTTAGAAGAGATACAACCTCCTTGGTGTCTCAGTCTCTGAGTCTGTGAAATCAGTCTGTTCTCAGTGTGGAGAAGGTTACATTAAACTAGTGGTTTTCAACTGGGAATGATTTGCCTCTGCTTCACATCACGTCTGGTAATGTGGAAGGTAAAGGGATTGAGGCCAGGGTGCTGCTAAACATCCCACAATGCAAAGGATAGCCCCCACAACAAGATTTGTCTGGCCCCAAATGCCGACATTGCTGAGGCTGAGAACCCGCGTTAGCAGAAGGTCTTAAGGGCAGTGAATATCAAATTTTACTTATTTCATTTCATTTCACTTTTTGATGTCTAGTGCCTTACACGATCCTTGGCCTATCATAGGCATATGGTAAACTTTTGATGGATATATGAATAATTGGGTGAAGGATTAATGAATTTATAAGAATGAACGTATGAAAGACCTGCATATTTTGTGTTAAAAGAATGACTAACACATTAGATATATCACCTTTCAAATACAAATTCTAATCTTCAGCCAAATAGGGGTGAGTTTTGGATTATGCATACTTAAATTCTATTACCTTAAATTATTGGGAAATTGTATAAATAGAAAGAAGGAAGGAAAAGATATTCATATTTAGGGAAGATAGTATGTTACGGCTAAAGTGCAGGCTCTGAGGCTGCCTTGCAAGATAAGACCCTGGCTCGATCAACATGTTACCTAGGCCAAGTTAGTTAACCTCTCCAGATCTCACTTATGTCATCATTAAAATGTGGACCATAACAGATAATACATGCTAACACTTAGCATAATATCTTGCATCAGTACGTGTTCAATATTATTACTTACTATAATTATTTTTTTTTCTATCCATACTATAAGCCAAGTGTTTTTGCTTGGTATACTTTAATCTTTTAATCATTTGGCAAGATTGGTGTTAATATTTCACAGACTTTTAGTCTGTGTTCTGTTTACTATACCAAGTTGTCAACAGCTATATTTAGACAGTTTTATGTGTGTCTTTTAAAGTTACTATCAGAAGTCTTAACTAAATCTGAATTTAATAAGTCATTATTTATAAAACAATGTGCTCATGTTCAACAATGTCAGTGGAACAAGACAAAACTCTTAAAGACTAAAAAGAAGTGACAACTAAGTACAATGTATGATCCTGAATTGGATCCTGGATGGGGAGGGGAGGAAATGGCTATAAAGGACATCACTGGGGCCACTGGCAAAATGTGAATATGAACTATATATTAGATAATAGGATTATAGTATTGTTAAATCTCTGAATTTGAAAATTGTATTGTGGTTATGTAAGACAATGCCCTTGTTCTTATGAGAAACATGCTGAAGTAATTAGGAATGAAAGGTCATGATGTCTGCACCTTATTCTCAAAAGGTTTTGCAAAATAATAATCACCACCACAACAATAACAGCTTTTATTCTAGAGACAGCTAAAGCAAATTTGACAAAATGTGAAGAATTGATCAATCAAGGTGTAAAACCTTTTAGTGTTCATTGTAGTACTCCTAACTTTGTATAGGTTTGGAAATTTTTTTTAAGATTTTATTTATTTATTTGAGAGCAAGAGAGATGGAACACGAATGGGGGGAGGGGCTGAGGGACAAGCTGACTCCCCGCTGAGCACAGGGCTCCTCCCAGGCCCCCGTCCCAGGACCCTGGGATCATGACAGGAGCCAAAGTCAGACACTTAACCAGCTGAGCCACCCAGGCGCCTCTAGAGGTTTGGGGTTTTAAATGAAGATGGAAGTGAGAAGAGCTCAGTATAACATTAATTAATCCACTGATTGAATGTTTTACTTGTTGATTACGATAACTCCTCTTGTTTTATAAAATAATGCCATCAAAAAGGTTTTTTTTTTTTTTAACCAGGATTTTTCTGTTTTGCAGTCATTTCTAGCACTCTAATGTCTAGATTGATACAATAGGTTTTTATAAACTAGAAGCAGTAATTTGAAGTAATGGAAAGAATATTAGGCTAAGAGTTGGAAGTTTGGCTTAGAATCTAGATTGTCATTGACAAGCTCTGTGAACTTGGGTTTATCTACCTCATCTGGGAAGACATATCTGGTATATGTGCTGCTGAAGCGAGCACTGGGAAGACATATCTAAAAGGATTTTACAAGTGCCTCATTTGTAAATAAAGGGGATGGAGCAGTTTTGATTGAGTTGTTAAATTCTAGCTAGATTGACTGAATAAAAGGTTATTTCTGAAGATCTTTAAAAAGAGGGTATACTTTTGCTGTGAGTATGTTTTGAATGTGGTCCTGACTGGATATCCTTTACTTTGGCCATTGTTTTCCAGAAAACATCTTTTCCAGTTACATCTTTTCTAAGTGCCCCCACCCTTTGGAAGTGTTAATAAACAGTGAAATGACTGAGAGCAACAGGAAGATAACAAGGAACAGTTACCTAAAGATTCATAGTCCATTTATTTTTCTTTAGTAATGCTACCCACAAACTGAAGGAAGTCTCAGAAGTACTTATTTGCTAAATAACACTACTGTGATTCTATAGCAAGCTTTCTTCCCTTTTGTGTTCCTTCAGTAAGATTTTCTTTTTTAATTTAAGCAAACTCAGGACAAGATTTCAAATTTTTCTACTCCAGTCTTGGCATAATTAATTAATCTGAAACCTTAACAAGAGGTCACAGATAAAACAACCACTAGCAGGATTGAATAGCATGTAATTTATCTTTAGTATGAAAGAACAAGATGGTGCTTTAGAGCAGTAGTTTTTAAACCATTGGGGACAGGAGTGAGGGAAAGGGATAGGATTTTATTTTCATTTGTTTCCCAGAATAGCTCTGTGTTTGCTTTACATGCTAGGCTTCCAGAGGCTTTTAGGAGTAAGACTTGGATTTCTTTCTTTTTTAAAAAAAGTCAGTTAATAGAAATAATATTGAAGGGCTTCTATTGAATATCATTTCAGCTTAAATAAGTAGGTGACCTAAATTATTATCTACTTAGCAAAATATTTTTGTTTGTTAACAGAAACAGATATGCAGTATGCAGCAAAAGTATACCGTGATGATCGGCTCCGAAGAAAGGCAGACGCCTTGAGCATGGACAACTGTAAAGAATTGGAGCGGCTGACCAGTATTTATAAAGGAGGATGAACAAGGATTGTATTTATACCTTTTAGTGTACTCTTTATTTTTTCTGTAAGTAAGTTTAGTTTCATCATGAGAGCTAAAGAAAAAGATTGGATGTTAAAAACTAAACTGAATAGTTGGTCCCTGAAATCTTGGACTGTTTATGACCTAACTGGCTCCTTTAAATAGTAGGGAACTGAAAACTAAAATTAATATTTTACTTATGCTTCTGGCAATTATTTTCACTTTAAAAGCTTATATTATTCCTAACTAAAAATGTCTTGAGAAAGGATTATCACACCTGTAGCAGTTTCCAGTTTTAGTGATTCTCCATGTTTCCTTTGGTCATGTAAATATTTATGGAATGATCACTTTGTGTACATATGGGTTACTGCATTTTTATTTAAATTCTTTTAGCATTTAACTCCATGAGACACTTTAGTTTAAACTGATAGAATACATGTTCTGTGACAAAATTACGTTTCTCTTGTCAGATGTCGAATGTGGAGTTTAAGCAATGAAACTTTTTCAAAAAGAAAAGAAAAAACAAAAAGCTGTTTAACTGTGTAAATCTTGTAGCATTATCAGCTTAGAGGGAATTGATATTTTTAATATTGCCATTATATTCCAGAATATATATTGAGATAAATGAACTGGTGTAGAGTATCAGTTTGCTATTTAGTTTTATGAATTGCTAAGCCATGCATAGAAATGAAATGCTATACTGATAGATTTTAAAGAAAATATGAGGAAATGGCTATGTAGATATTAAACCAAAAGGGTCTTCAACAGTAAATTGCAGTTATGTCATTTGCAATTCCAGTAATTCAAAGGCCCCCACATATTTATATTTCTGTCTTTGAAGGCTGCTAACATTTATGAAGAAGAGGACCCAACTGTTTCGCCCCCCATGGAAATTTTAGTCTCTTCTTAGTGATCATTTGAGCAGGATCCAAAGTAAATGGGTTCTTCTACAAATGAGTAATAAGAGAAAAATACTACAAAAATGAAGCTTTGTGCCTTTTAACCTGATTGCCAACTCTTAAACATATAAGTAGATTACAGCACACTTACATGATCAGAGCATGATCTGTTTGGCCACATGCAACAGTGAGCAGCAGGTAGAATAGTGATTTATGGCAAGTTATCCTTACAAAATTCTGAGCTAAAAACTATTCACCGTTGAGTAATTCAATTATCTTATAGGAATAAGCTCTCTGTAATTCAATCCATAATATAAATTAGAAAAATAAGCTGGAAATTGAAGTTTCTGGTGCCTGTATATTGAGTATGAAAACTATTTGATTTCTAGTGTTCTATGTTTAACAGTTGTAATATTTTAATGATTTTGCTTCATACTCAGTTAATGGAACACAAATGCATCTTTGGTAGTTTTGTGTGTGTGTGAGAGCATGCTAGTTCTAGTGGCAGTGTTCTTTTGTTTAAGGATTTTTTTTTCTGACTGTGGTTGATTATTATAGCATCTGTTGAAAAAAACTGCTAAAATGACCAATCTTTTTAAAATGTTCTCTTGTATCCCCTTTTCCAGGTGAATCAGTAGAAATATCCGAATGAATTAGTGAGTTAAACTAAACAACATACTGCCCTAGGAAAACTGGACATCTTCACCAGTTTTCTTTTAGAAATGCAACTTTTAAATAAAACAAAATAGCAGTGCTTAAAAGAAAATACAAATTTAAATATCTTCTTGAGCCTGCAGAATGAATTTTTAGAAAATAAGGTCATAGCATTCTAATTAATTTTGAAAGTTCATATACATCCGAAAACTTACAAAACTTTAAATGAAAAAATTTTGTCCATTTATTTTTCCAGTTTTAATGAGAAATTTACGCTATTGTGATTGACGCTAATGTGAATTGAACTCTTGTTGAGTGATTCTTTTTCCCTTAATCTTGGCTTTATGGGGATAGATGAAGTTATCAAGTTAAGTGAAGTTATATATTATGAAGTATATGGCTTTTGGACAGTATTATATTTCAGTTGCATTGCTGCATTCCATCACATTTTGTAAAATGTTCGGGGGAAATGTGTTCGATAAAATAAAATTTTCAGACAACTGTGAGAAATAACTGATCGAGTGCCTGATAATTTAAGCCACATATAAAGTATGCAAGAAAAGACTAAGTCCTTAATGTCATCTATATTTTGGTGTAAAGGCCCAATCAAGTGTCTTAGAATTTTGGGTTAGTTCTACAAAGTAAGAAGATTTGAACTGTCTTGAGATGTAAGATTTTCATGTTTGCTACTCTTACAATAAAAATCCCAACATTTTGCCATCTTATTTTTACTACACGAGCTTTGCAATTTCATTTGATAACTTGTACTGTTCATTTTAATTGCCTGAAAGTTGAATCTTTGAATACTGCTTTACTAGCTTTTCTAACTGGTATTTTAGAAGTTTGGCAGCAACTATATTTATTAATGCTTTACATTTTTATCTCTTTTTACACATACATATAAATGTTGTCCTTGTGAGGATTTGGGGGAAAGTAAAGAGTACCTTTTCTCCTCCTTTTTTGATTGCTTAGTTCCGAAGTAGACTGGTGCTAGTCGCTTATAAGCTTCAGAATTTATTTTGACCAAATCTGAGAATTTCATTCTCAATGAGAAAATTCAAGTTTTAATCCATCTAATAAATAAAAACAATATATTTTGGGAACAGATTGCATTTGAATGCTTAAATAAGAATTTGTTTCATAATCACTACAGTTTTTTTTTTATAATTTACAGAGATTTGGTAGAGAAGAGTAAATCCTTAAGGCATAAATATGCCAGTGCATTAAGCGACTCTGCTTTTGTGTCAGCTCAGGTGTTCACAGGAACAGGAATGTGGAGTTCCAGCCCTTAACTGTGATTGCACTTTTATGCTTTAGTTTTCTTCCTGTTAAATCTTCAGTTCCGCTAGTATGTAAAATAGTGTATAGTGAGAGAAATGATTACCCTCTTCAATTTTTCTTTGTTGATCTGTAATAGTTTTAAATGCAGCTGTTATTTAATAACTGTGACATATTATTAATAATGTATTCCCATGTATTTCCTTAAAAAAAACAAATCTCCGACCTGTGTTAAGGCAGTGAAATATTTTTTGATGTTGACCTGAGAACCAAATGAGCCATCTTTCCAGTTAAGTAAGTGTTATGTTGAAGGACCATATGGTTCAAAAGGAGAATTTGTGCATTTATTCAGCTTCCCCACATGAAGCTTAGGTTCCTATTACCATCTGTCTTCATCCTGAGTGAAGCAGACCCGAAAGGGCATTCATAATCCTTTTTCTTATCTGAACAGGAAAACTTCTGAAAATGAACAATAAATCTGAATTTTAATCTTTACTAAGTAAAAATCTACTGATTCACGGTAAAAAACCGTGTCCATTGGCCACATTGGACTATTGCCTAGTTAAAATCCATAAAATTCTCTATAAATAATGAAAAAGGAAAGAGTAGTATAACAATAACTCACAAAACTTTTTAAATCTTTTAAAATTCTAATTTGTAATTACAAAGAAAAAGTGAGTAGAATGAGGATCTTCAAGGAATTCTTGCACATCCCCTTAATAATCTGACAGGCAACACAGTCCTAGAATTCAGACTTCCTTTTTGGTTTCCATTACTGTTAAATAAACACTTTCATATAAATGGAAACATTTTCCCTCAAAACTTTAATTCAAAACATACTCCTTATATTAAGGATTATATAACCACATTTTTTGTAAGTTCCCTGTGTGTAACTTTTTCCTCTTGGTATGTGATTCGTTCTCATTTAATTTATCTGCTGGTTTTGGGGCCAATGGACTTGTGAATATTCTGTGGATGTGTCCATGTATAGGTGTACATATATATATTTTTCCAGCTAATACCTCAAATGTGTGTTTGTTTAATATATGCCACACTATGTTTGCACAGAGCAGGGCTTCCATTAGCAGTGGATATTCTTAATTCTAACTTTGAAAAATCATTCCACAGAATTTCATTGGTGTGAATTTTTTCCTTGGATCCTTTTCAAATTTTAAAACAGATTCCTATTAGAAGGCCCACACTTCAAATATAATTGTATCTTTCTGTCTCTAGCAGTGGAACTATGTAGGGGTAAGAAGTGTTTCTCAAAAGTGTCTAGTTGAGTAAGTTCTTATGAACTGTTGGGGTGACTGGTTGCCGAGCTATGTCGTAACTGCACAGCGATGACACCCGGCATGAATTTGAGCAACTCTTACTCATTTTGGCACAGGAGTCGGGACATTCCAGTCTGATTCTACTTTGCCATTTAAGAGTATCACTAAAGTAATAGAAGTTTTCCGGTGACACTGGAGTATTTTAAGCATCAGTTTCAAAATGAACTGTTTTTGAGTTGGCTGACTATACCAATGAGAAGAAAGAAACTCACACATAAATGATACTTTGTAATTATATTAAGAAATGCTTCTTACCTATTTTTGTTTTGTTTTCATTTTTCGGATGGCTACATAAGACTTTCTTCCATTTAAGGTTTAAATCACGTGTTTTTTAAAAGCTGCAGGTAATTTTCAAGGTGTGATGGAATTTTAATGGAAGCCTTGTATAAGTTAAATGAAGTGAAACTGGTAAAGGAGATCTTACTTTATTTGTCTATACTGCATTCAAGATTATACAATTAGATTTAAAAATGTCTGATTTGTAAAATACTTAATATGATATCAGACTTATAAAATAAAATTTTCTGTGTGAGAATTCTGTTAAAGAAAATGCATTTGATTTTTAATGAATGTTCTGCTGAATGATTTGTGATGAATTTTTGTCTTTCAGTCTCTGCAATTTATCTCAATATATGAATAAAAAGAAGGTCTGTTCTCACTGTAAAGGGTGTTTTTTTTTTTATTTAAACATTTAATTTGACAGAGAGAGACACAGAAAGAGGGAACACAAGCAGGGGGAGTGGGAGAGGGAGAAGCAGGCTCCCCGCTGAGCAGGGAGCCTGATGCGGGGCTCGATCCCAGGACCCTGGGATCATGACCTGAGCTGAAGGCAGACACTCAATGACTGAGCCACCCAGGCGGCCCTAAAGGATGTGTTTTTATCATGTTTTATATTCTTAATATGCACTTTCTTCCATTCATTCAACCATTCAACAAATGTATGAATGCCTGCTTTATCCCAGGCAGTGAGCTCAGTGCTGGGAATTAATCACTGAACAAGACAGAAATCCTTATGGAGTTTACATCTAGCCAGGAAAATAAATGTAAAGTAAATAACTAATTATAATTGTGGTGAATGCTACAAAGAAAATTACAAGGTTCAATGAGAGCACATCTAGAAGACTTAACCTACTGTGGGAGGATCAGGGAAAGTTTCTCCGAGAAAGTGAGCTTAAGTTGAAACTCAAAAGACAAGATAAGTAGGACTGAGGTGAATGCTAGAGATATATTTCAGGCAGAGTGTGCTAAGTTGATAAAGCCATAGCAACTTTGTGGAAGTGAAAACAAACTTGCATGAGAACAAACTCATAGGATTATAGCATAGGAAAGGCAGGGTAAGTTAGAGAACTAAAATAAGATAGGGACCAAGTTCCATAAGACCATATATAAATTATGATGATGATAATTGGACTTTATCCTAAGCCAGTAGAAAACCTTTGAGATTTTTGAGGAGGGAGTTACATAATGAGACTTGAGTTTTTGAAGTATCATTTTAGTTATTGTGCAGAGAAGACTGGAGGGCAAACATGAATATAGGAAGGATAGGAAGTTATTGGCGAAGGAGAGATGATCATGGCTTGGACTAGAGTAGGAATACAGATAAATGAATGATTTTGAGAGATATTCAGGAAGTAGAGTCAAGAGAATTATTTGATTGATTGGATTTGGGATAAACAGAGGCAGCAATTAAAAACTTTCCAAAAATTTGGTTGTGAAAGGGAGTAGAGAAGGATGTTAGCTGAAAGAGGATGTGGTTTCTAAAGAAGGCTTTTGTTTTTTCAATTATTAATTACATGAGATCGTGTTTATTGCATGAGAGATCTGTTTTATTCTGTTGTTTTTCATTCTGATGTAAAGGGGCAGGTAGAAAGTGAAAGAGTAAAGACAGAGAAAAAGAGGGATAATAGCAGTAAGTGCCTGATATGTCCAGGAGGATATTATGTCATTGGACAGATGGAAGAATTACTTTAGCTAACCGACCACCAGCATTCTTTCAGAAAGGAATGCATGGAGGATGGGTGCTACAAAGGCAGGTAGATTTGTAGTGTTGGTGGTAAGATGTCATGGCTTTCATTGGCTTAATGAATAGGCAGTTTATCTGTGTAAAGTGGGGGAGGGGAAAAGAAAAAGAAACAGGCTTAGAAGAGAGTTTGAAGGAATTTTTTTTTTATCACTGAGTCAGCTGACGAGTGAAAAAGTAGGATTTTTACAAGTCCCAGATTGGTGACAGAATTTACAATCTGTTTAGTTGTATGTGTTTTCTCCAGCCTAACCCATCAGCCTAGGTATAGGCAGTGGAATACAACTCATTGAACTCATCCAAAGTTGGGGTTCTGTCAGGCAGGAAAGAAGGTAGGGGAGTTTAAGTTGTTGACATGTGAGTGACTCATTGATTATCTATAGTATGCAAGCCAGAGATCAGAGGAATTAGTCATTTCTCAGGTCACTGCCTAAATCCAGGGTGTGATGACAATGAGTGGTAGTATAAAAGTTATTGCATATGACCTTATAATTGTATTCTCAATGGGCCAAATCCCAAACCATAGCCAGAATCAGTATTAGCAAGACATTTTCCAACTTGGCCAATCTAAGTGATAAAATTTTCATATTTGTATGTTGGGAAATCAGCAAGACTCTCCTCCCCATGAGTTTGAATACCAATTAGAATTTTCACAGAAATAGTGGAGCCAACCTAAACTGAGATGATTGGTAGATTTTTATGGAAAAGAATAAAAAAATTGAGACATCTCTGGCATATACAAAAGCTAAGAGAAACTTAAGCTAAAAATAGCAGAAACAAAGGCTTTTGATACAACCAATAAAGTTAGAACTTTAATAACATGTACATGTTTTAACTGTTCCATGTATTATATATACTAGCATACTATTTCTCTGGTATGCTGTGTACTAGAAAATTTGAATGGGTGAGATAAAAACTGTGTGTGTATATGTCTACAATTTCTACTAGTTTCTTCCTGAACCTCAGGGATCATCTGGTACATTCCACTTTGAAGAACTGGTACCTAATGCTGATAATCTTTTAGGCCAGTAAATATTTCCCCTAGTCCTATACCAGCGGCAGTGAGTAAATTCAGACAGATCAGTCTCCCACTGACTGCCTTAATTCAGAAACCACCACACTTGGAAACTAGAAATCTTCCTAGTTTTTTCACCTTGAGGCCATAGTGGTATTTGGAGAGCTTGGAAAGCTATGCTCTCCTTTTTTTGCCACTCAAGAAGAATGAAAATCAGTATTTTCCAGGTCAACTATCATTTATGGATAGTTCTTAGGATGGAACGTGTTAAAATGAAAGTGGAGAAGGAGAAGCAGACCCCCCACTGAGCAGGGAGCCCGATGCGGAGCTCAGTCCCAGGAACCTGAGATCATGACCTGAGCAGAAGGCAGACGCTTAACCGATGGAGCCACCCAGGCGCCCCCACCACTTAGGCATATTGATTATTTTGAGGTGAAGGCACTAAGAAAACAGATGCAGGAAGGACTCTTTGACCTCCCCTTTTACCAAAAAGCAGGTCATAAAATTTCCTGTGAGAAAGGTACCCTCCCTCTACCAGGAAGAGAACATTCTTATCACCAGAGGCGAGACTGACGCCAAAATGGACCCGTACAAACAAGCCTACTAAAATAATCCTATCTTCCATTGGTTTCACCCATATGTTTCATAATCACTGTCCCACAATTTACTATCCCTTACCCAAGCCCCTTTTCTTGCCACATCCCCACAATTTGTTGTTCTTTGTATAAAAGACATGTAACTTTTTGGCCTAATGACTTCTTTGGACCTTATTTCCTTCTGAATACTCCCATATACACATAAAAATATTAAATAAATGTGTATGGTTTTTCACCGGATAATCTGTCAATTAATTCTTGGACCCAGCCATAGAACCTAAGGGGATAGAAGGGTAGAAGTATGTTTTTCCTCCCCTACAAGAGAAATAAGCACTTCAGTTTAAAGGACCCTCCAGAACCAGTGTGGAGAAATAACCAGTGATGGAAGGGTGAAGTTATCAACTTGGGTGGAGTATAGGATTCACATTAGAATGTGTTCAGAAGTAAAATAGTATATGTTTGTGCCAGATTAAAGACTCAACTTTATCAGTCTGCAATGGTACATCACTAAAGATTTTTTTGAGCATCAGTAATGTGCATTGTTTTGGGAAGGTTTATCCGGCCATTAGTAAGTGGCTATTGATATCATCTTGCTAAATAATGGTTTGAATGAAGAATTGAAAAAAATATATAGATGAAAAAAATCATTGCTAGGTTAGAAAAGTGGACACGAGGAACAAAAGATAGCAAACATGACACATGACTAGTAAAATCATGGAAACAACAGACACATTAGGAGAAAGGTTTATTGGAGTTTTTGGAGCTTTTGAGTCAGAGCTGACTTCAAGACATGTATGTAGACGTACCCAACAACTGACAAGCAGCCGAAAATGTGAACCTAGAACTCTGAGGAAAGGTGCAGACTTAGGCCTCACGTTCTCAGGAAAATGTGGAAAGAGAAAAACGAAACCAAAGACAAGCTTTAAATGCCATGATCTAAAGAATTAGGAAACTAGAATGGGTGGGGACCTAAAGTAAGTAATGCAGTATCCCAGAAGCTAAGAAATCAAAGGATTTAAATAAGGAAAAGGAAGCGAACTTCAATGATGTGAGTTGCTATGGAACCATCAACTTCACTTGTAATAATCAGGAGATCATTTCTAACAGTTGGGAGAGCTGTAGTTTACCATTTCGTCTTCTCAAGGATAACAAATTAGTATCCAACTCTTCACCATGTCTTGAACTAGAGTTAATTCCTTTTGCTCTCCTACTTTTAAGGATTGGGAGTTGAAGATGAGTCGTTAACAAGTTCCCACAGTCTTCGTTTTCTTAGCACCTACTGTAGGTTTTTGTTACACGTGCAAACGAGCAAGACACCAAACAAAAAATAATATGGTTGCAAATTAGAAGGTATAGCCTTCTAAATCATGAGCCAACGAAAGAAGGTTGTCCAGTATCTGTGTATGTTGAGTTGCGCAACTAACTGTGAAAACTCCAGAAAGCCCATGGCTCCTCTATTCAATCTAGACAAGACCTCGAGTAAGAGCACGTGGGTGGCACCCTTGGAAAAGCCAAGGCAGTGGGGGTCATCGGGGTCAGAAAACTATGAACCTGGGCCTTTTTTTTTTTTTTAAGATTTTATTTTTAAGTAATCTCTTCGCCCAGCGGGGTTGGAACTCACCACCCCGAGATCAGGTCATAAGCTCCACTGACTCAGCCAGCCAGGCGTCCCATGAACCTGGGACTTCTGGGCACAGGCAATCCTGCTTGCAGTTCAGCTCCTAAACAACACCCCTTCAAACTTTTTCATCTCCAAGAAAAGGTCTTAAGATAACAGGCCTTGAAAAACTAATGAAATTTATGCACCCTCCCCACACAACAACGTCTCCTTGCCTACATTTCCGGCGGGTCTTTTAAAGCCGGACGACATCCGAGAAACCCTCATTTCACCGGGCTGTGTCCCCACGGCCCTACGTCTGCGCAGGCGCAGGGAGCAGCCCGCGAGGGGCGGGGCGGTGCGCGCCCGACGCAAAAAGGCCTCCGCGCCTCCCCGGAAATCTCCTATCATCGGGCCCCGAAGGCGCAGAAAGTGCTTCCTGGAACACGGAGGAGGTCACAAATCATGTGACGACGGCTTTCCAAGGAGGCTGTCTGTCAGGCTGTCCCTGGATCTATAGCTGAGGGAACACCGCAGCCCAGAAAGCAAGGTAACTCGAGCCGCTTTGCTCGGTATTCAGCCCGGGGCCGCAGGTGGCGCGGGCAGTGAGACGCAAGGGAGGGAGAGGACTCCCCTTCCCCTCTCCTTTGGGCCTAGGTCTTCGCGGGTGCAGGGTGGAGTGGACTGAGGTAGGGCGTCCCAGCTACCGTCTGGGTATTTGGGCACTCCCGCCTCACTTCGGCTTCCCCGGTGCGAGCCCTAGAGCCGCGGATTCTTGCCTGGCCTTGATGAGAGCTGACCCCGCTTGTTAGGTTGGAGGTGGGAAGAAGTCTTGAGGGGAGAATCACCCGGAGTTTCTCTTCCAGGAGTGGAGATTGATCCTGCGGGAGAAAGGGGTTCGTCATGGCGGATGTGAGTTAACACCCACACAAGAGGAAGGGGAGGGTGGGGAGTTTGGTGGAGGCCTACTGGGCCGGGAGAGGTAAAGCTTCCCAAGGCGAAACTGGATTCCCTTTTATCCCGCCCACCCCCACATAGTTTCGGTAGGCTCTGGAGTGAGTGACTAGTACGAAGAGATTGGCGGGGTACACTCTGCCCACAGTGGGGGTGGAGGACGCTAAGGTGTCTGAGGTTGAGAAAATTGTATTCTTCCCACTCCCCAGTCCGGCGGGCATGAGAGAGGCTCGGAATACCATTTGAATTTCTAAATGTTTTGCTGCTGTGAATCTACTTTTTTCCAGCAAGTGGTCATGATGTCTCTAGATTCATTGGAGCAAATTGAGATGATTTCTGACTGATACCTCTTTAGCACAGCAATAAAACCCAAATTGTAAGTTTAGGAAACTTAATTGTACTAGTTACTAGAAACAGGAATTGATACTACTACTGTTTATGTGTCTGTATTTTACATCCTGTTGTTCTTTTACCTACATGCTGGGCATTCTTCTAAACATTGAACATTTAATTCTTACAGCTTTTATGAAGTAGGCACTGTTATTGTCCTTGTGTTCTAGCTGAGGAGGCTAAGGCCTAGAAAGATCATGTCAATTGCCTCAGGTTACACAGCTGGTAAGTTGTAGAGTCAACATACCAACCCAGGCAGTCTGACTCCAGAGTTTATGCTCTTAACCACTAGGCTGAATGATCATTCAACATTAATATGAACGTGATTTTTCTTTTTAGGTTTAGGAACTTTGTATGCTTTTATCACTCCATTTATGAGTGTCTGCCATTATGTTCTTGAGAACTTCTTCTCCAGGCACAGTCAAATCGCTATATATCCATTGAGCATCACCTTGCGAAAGTTGTTGTAATAAGGGCTGTGGGTGAAATAAAGATGGTTAAGGTATATTCCTCTCCATAAGGTGTTTTGTTTTGTTTTGTTTAAGATTTTATTTATTTATTTGTCAGAGAGAGTGAGCGCGTGTGTGCGAGCACACGAACAGGGGAGCGGCAGGCAGAGGGCAGACACTTAACCGACTCAAGCCACTCAGGCATCCCTCCATAAGGGTTTAAAAATTTTTTTTAAAGTATAATAGGCAGGTGATCATAAGTGTATATATATAACTCAGTGAAAATTCAAAAGAGAGAGGGGTCACATCTGCTTTGTGTTTATCAGGAACGCTTATTTGGAGTATTTGGTGGTTGAGAATAGCTCTAAATAGGGAGTGGCAGTTTTTCTCAAAGTAAGATTGATAGAGAGTTACTATTAAAATAAGTAGTGTAAGCAAAGTTTGAGAGATGGAAAAGGGAAAGATGTGTGTGGAGGAGCTGTGAGTAGTCCACTCTTGCTGGGGCTGAGTTATGTATGAGGGAGTGGTAGGAAGCAGGACTGTAAAATGAGGTGTAGACCATATTGTAGAGAAGCTCAAATGTTAAAAGAATTTGTAGAGAATTTATTAAACAGTGGAGAGCCATGCAGACATTGGTTCACAACCCCGACTGCACAGGGAATCATCTGGGAAGCACCTCAAACCCAGATAGAGAAGGAGAATAATATGGTTATTGGCATTGTGTAGAACTGTATGGGATAGAAGTGGGAGACCAGATTACCAGTTGGGAGGCCAGCACGAGTCATAAATAATTATTAAAGTGAAGCTAAATTGTAATGTCAGTTGAAAAGGAAAGGAAGAGGGGCACCTGGGTGGCTCAGTCTGTTAAACATCTGCCTTCAGCTCAGGTCATGATCCGAGGGTCCTGGGATCGAGCCCCGCATCAGGCTGCTTGCTCAGCTGCTTCCCCCTCTCCCTCTGCCTGCCGCTCCCCCCTTGATTGTTGCTCTCTCTCTCTCTCTGTCAAATAAATAAAATCTTTAAGAAAAAGAAAAGGAGAGGAGGAGATCATTTTAAAAACATTTGACTTCACAAATCATTTAGAAGTGATAAAGGTGAGGTTAGGGTTAAATGTTACTCTGTGTTTCAGACCTGAATAATGGGATGGGTAGTGCCATTAGAGGAGACAAGAGATTGAGGAAATCTGGATTTCACATGAAACGTGATGAGTTGAGTTTTAATGTATGTGTTCAAGATAAGAGCAGAGGTAAGATGGTGGTCCTAACGTGAAATAAGATGAACATCCAGGGGTGGAGAATAGTAGGGATTAGAGGTTCAAAACAACAGATTCCTCCTGTACCTATGTAGGCCTCATAATTGATACCTGGATTGTCAATGAAATTGCCTAGGTGAGAGAGTGTAATGAGAGGAAATGAAATAGTCTTTTATTTCTTTAGTACTAATTATGTTCCATGCTTAACACTTGATACAGGTTGTCATTTATCTTTAGTTATGAAAAGAAATGGAGTTTCAGAGAAGTTAATTTACCCAGCGTTGTTAAAGTGATGTGAGAAAGTTTATCTGTAGACAAGGAAAGATGTTTATAATATACCCTCAAGTGAATAGGACAATAGCAACAGGATGTAAAATAGTATGAAAAATATGATCTAATTTTACAGCTAATATGTATTTGCTATGTATTTGTCCAGATATGCTAATCCGTTTACATACATCTCAATAAATTTTAACAATAGTCTTATGACATAGGTTCTGTGGTTATCCCTTCTCAACAAATAATGAAACTGGGGCTTAGAGAAAAAGGTTAAATAACTTGTTCCAAGTCACACAACTAGTATCAAAAAGAAAAAGAACACAAGCAAGAAAGATTATGAGTGATGATTTAAAGTACCTGAAATGTGGATAGGACTATCTAGATAACCAGTACAAGGCATATTGTTATAATATGATTTTTTTATATTCTCTTTCAGGACCTAAAGCGATTCCTGTATAAGAAATTACCAAGGTAAAAAATTACTAATTTATTATTAAATAAGTTCTGCATTATATACGTTGATTTTATGTAGCATTTTGTTTCTGTTTATTTTAGACTAATAGTATGTGTATATTGTTATTTAGCATTTTCAAATAACGCTAGGCAGGACAAGCAATGTCCTTTGAATTTGCAGATAAATAATATCAGGCCTAGAGAAGTTGTATATGACTTGTTGTCTGAGGTTAAACAGCTCGTGAATGCCAGGGGGTTAGAACCCGTATTTCTTGGCACTTTATTTAGAGTTTTTTCAAATATACTAACATAGCAGTTTTTACTGGATTATACTTTGAAGAAGTTAGAGCAATTTTTTTTTAAAGATTTTATTTATTTATTCATGAGAGACAGAGAGAGAGAGACAGAGGGAGAAGCAGGCTCCCCACTGAGCAGGGAGCCTGATGCGGGACTCGATCCCAGGACCCTGGGATCATGACCTGAGCCGAAGGCAGACGCTTAACCATCTGAGCCACCCAGGCCCTGAAGTTAGAACAATTTTAAGGGGAAAAACCCTAGAACTTGCCTTTCCCTTAGTATTACTTTTAAGACCTAATTTCTGAGTCTGCATAACCCAAAAATGCTATATGTAGACAGCAATCTATACTTGGAAAAATCGCAAGGCTTCTTTTGCCTGCACCCAGTCCATTTGATGCTTCATTATCAATTAGGCTCTGTGGAAGGACAGCAAACTTCCTTTTAGATATTTTTGTGGTTCAAAGGACTTTGTCACTTTAGTTGTGTTAAAATTCACATTTAGTTTAGTGTAAAGTTAATACCTTAGAGTTGAGGACAGGAGAGAGAGGAATACAACTGGAGACATCCATTTCCACATTCCAGCATAATTGAATAACCTTTGAGGTGTAATGTAGCAGAATGTATGGTGAGATCCTTTTTTTTACTTCTTTTTTATTATCCAAATGTGTGAATTTAAAAAGGTTTTGTATGTCAGTTTATTTCTGTAGGTAGGTAAAAAGAAGAAAAAGAAAAAAAATTCCCTTGTTTGGATTTTTGCCTGAATTGTTTGATGTGGTTTGCCTATTGACTTGTGCCTTTACCCTGACCACAAACCAGTAGAAATTAATGATATTATCTCCTTGGTTTGATATATGTATATTTGTCTATAATTCAGGAAGAAAGTACTGTTATATTCAGGAAGAAGATATTGAAGCATTAAGTAATTGTTACCTTTGGTTTCATGTTAATGTAATACTTAAATTCATTTTTACTCTCTTCCTTCTAGTGCAAACTAGAACACTGATTCTGTTCTCATCCTAATGACGAGCAGGCAGTCCTAGCTTTGCACAGTAGTGCAGGGCCGTGAAAATGACTGTACACGCTGAAACCATCCAAAGCAATTTTAGTAATCCCTGGGAAAAATGACAGTTGTTTTGTGATCTTTAGAAAATTTTTGTCAAAACCTTAAAACCTCTTTTGTTGGTTCTATTTGAGGGAATGGAAACAGATGCTAAAAGCAATATTTGTTTAATACACTGCAGTTTAGAAACAGTGGAAATAGTACTAGTGTTTATATCTTTGTAGAAAACTTCTCGAGTGTAGTTGGAACAGTGCCTACTTGTTTGCAGACATGGTAAAATAATACCAAAGGTATAACCTTAAGCTAAGGAGCAGGCATCTTTCCTGTGCCTTCAAATTGGCACACTCCTAAGTTTGGATCAGCTTCCGCCATTTTGTCCTTTGTACTGTCGATGTGGGAAGTTTTTTGCCCACATCACTTCCTGTGGGATATCTTCATCCTCTTCATCCCAACTGCTTGCCTAATTTCTGTCTGTGAGTGCACTTGTACAAACTTCCTCTGGCTGCGCGTCTTATGCGCAAGAGTGAAAGTGTCCACATGCTTTCGGCCAGTTATTTCTTCTCTGTTTACTTTCTGTTTGAATTTCACTTCCAGCATTGTCACCTTCCCTTCCTTTGCTCTATTTCGTCTTGATTAGCCAGTTCCCTATTTCAGTTCTGTTTTTCTTTTTAATGTCATATGCTTTATTTATCATTGGAAGACTAGGAGATAACACTGTGTACTTTACCGTCCCTGCATACCCTGAGGAATAGATGCTCGGTGACCAGTCACCAACATGCTTTGAAAGAAGTGATGTGGTTGGTTCCTGACACAGTGCGATCTGTCATTTGCAAAGTTACTCACATGGTGATTTGTGTGAAGAGTTGGTGAGGTTTGTACTGTATGCAGTTACTCACTTAATATACCATACTTCCTGAAATTTGAGCCATGCTGTCAGGAGGAGTGGTGTTATTTAATTCAACTGTGAGAACTAAAATGCGTCCGTATTGGAACTGTACAAAGTGAAGGTTCTCTGTGTTTCTCTGTATCTGCCTTGTTGGAGGGTTAGCATATTGAAAGGATGGTAAAATTGACCAGTAGGATTGGGGGGAAATACCACACTAGCAACAGAGTGGAGGAGCAGAAGCATAGTTGATATTTGTAAAAAGGGTATTTGTAAAAGTGTGATGAAAATCTTTCTATGGTGGAAGAAAGGGCTTAGAGCCGTGTGTTTTGTTCTAGTTTGGTTTTTTCCCCCATAATGACCAAGGCCAGTTTGATTCATACTCCTTCATGACTTTTTCTTGAAAGTAGGATATTGTATCCCAAAAGCTAAAGGAATGAAGAAATGATATTGAACACTTACAAAGAAAAGTAGTAAAATGAGCATTTTGATTTGTTGCTAGATGTCTGTAAAACGAAGGGCCTTGGACGAGGGCAGCCTGGCTTCAGATCTGTGGGTTCGTGCTCTCAGTTGTTGGAGCCGTGCCTCTCAACACCCAGCCAGTGAATGGAACATGTTTTTGTTCATTTGTAAATTCCCTGCTAAATAAAGTTCTTGAATTTGTATTTAAGTCTAGTTGTGACCCAAAGCAGGCTTAGGCTTTAATAATCACAACTTTTTGTGTGCTGAAATAACCAAATGTTTCATTATTATATGTATAGAATGAAGTGTGATGTCTGATTACAAATGCAACATTTGCTTTTTTGGAATAAAAGTGTTTGTTTTATTAAGCTTAAGGTTTTGATGTCTGCAGAGTATTTCATAACATTAACTTCCTTCTAGACGTGCAGCGTACCTATTAACGCATCATGCTTATTTTCAGTTGTTAGTAAAATGTACTCATGTTATTTTTTTGTTCACTCTGTGTAGAATTGGAAACACCTTTTATATTTGTGACCTAATTTCTTTAAGTGGGTATTTTAAGTATGTGAGTAATTTTTCTACTTTGTTGGGCATTTATCTCTGTGAATTTAAAATCCATTAAAAAGAAAGTCTTTATTTCTGCCTCCTCTTTTGGTGCATTAGTTGGCATTTAAGTTAACTATCTTGGAAATAAGAGAAAAGAAACTGTGGAGACACAGATATTTCTAAACATTTTTTTGTAGAACTCTTTACCTGCTTTTTAATTTGATTATCTTTTGAGTAGGCAGTACATTCATAAAGTTCAAGATTCAGAAATTAACTGAAGGACATAGTTAGAACTTTCCTATCCCTGCCCCCCAGCCACACAGTTCCCCTCTCAGAGGCACCCAGTACCTTCAAAGATATTTTACACACCTGCAAACAAGCATGTATATAAACACACATATTTACACGTAGACACATAGGTCTTAGTTGAGGTTGTTAAAACAAAATACCATAGATTGGATTTCCTATAAATAACCAAAATTTATTTCTCACAGTTCTGGAGGCTGGAACTCCAAGATCAGGGTGCCAGCATGGTTCACTTCTGGTCGAGGCCCCTTTCTGAGTTGCAGATGCAGACTTCCCATATCTTCATATGGTAGAAGGAGGGCTCTCTAGCCTCAAGTAAGGGCACTATTCTGATATCTGAGGGCTCCACCCCCATATCCTAATGACCTGCCAAAGGCCTCGCCTCCAAATACCATCATATTGGGATTAGGGTTTCAACATAGGAATTTTGGGGGTGACACAAACATTCAGTCCATCACAACATATACATACATGTGCCTACACTTGTTATTGTATAAGTTTTGCTTCCTGTACACATTATTCAAAACTCTTGTGTTTTCACTTCACAATATACTTTTGAGATCAGTCCTTCCCAGGACATACAAAGAGCTGTTTCTTTTTTTTTAATGGCTGCAGAGTATTCCATTGTGTATGTGTGTCATAATTTATTGGACTCGTTCTTCTTGATAGACAGGTTTCTAGTGTTTTCCTATTTCAGGTGATGTTGCTGTTGATAACTGTACAAAGTAGTTTGTGCAGGTATCAGTAGGATATACTTTTAGATAACCTAGTTTTTAACTAAGAAGAATTTGTTTTATACATTAACCTTACAGAGCACATTTTAATTTATAGATAATTCCAGGATTGAATGATAATAGAAAATAATACCAGTAAGTGTTTATACAGGTTATTTCATCATTCTTACTTTTAATGTGAGGTTCATAAATGGTAATGTTTATAACATTTTCTCAAAATTTAGTAACACTTCTCTGACTTAAAAGTTTTTGCCACTGGGATTTTAAAATTTAATCTCAGTATCTTAATATGACTGTTCCTCATTTCTAACCTAAAACGTTAAGGTTAACACAATAAGGAATGGATAATCTGGGTTATAGTAGGAACGTTGAACATACTTCTGAGTAGCAATCTTGGATATTACGAGATTATGGGGCTGAAAATTTGAGAATGTTTTCCCATTCTAATTTTTGGCACTTTAGTTCTGTGCTCTAGGAATTCTCTAATGAGTTAATACTTAAACTGCACTAATAAATTGTCAGTGTGTGCAGATGACACTCTGATGCTAATTAGTAATAATTAATATTTTTGAATTTTAACTATGTACCAGCCTCGACTTTACATGCATTATCTTATTACATTTTACAATAGTTACATAAGTACAATTATTCCCATTTTCATATTGTTAACGGAGGCTAACAGAGGTTTCATAACTGGCCCAGGGTAGCGTAAATAGTAAATGTAGGAGAGCCTAGACTGGACTAGATGGTTATAGTCTTGACCATTCCCCTTACTGCTTCTTATGTAGGCATAGCTGAAAAGATTGCTACATGACCTTCATTCTTTCCGTTGTGTTCCTTCATCCTAGAACAACAATCTTTCTGCCCCTCTTCTCTTGACCAGTGCCATAACATCTCAGCTTAGCTGTCACTAGCCTTCCCTGACCCACTTGTCTAAATCAACCCCGCTTTTGTAGGCGCTCATAACCCACAGATATCTTGATGGCACTTGATACCATTGTCACTATAGCTTCTGCTGTTAACCTGTCATACTTTCATAAATAATGGAAAAACAATTAGCAACACTAATGGAGAATTGTCTGTGTTTTAGATCTTTATCAGTAAATTGTATAAATTTGTAAAGATTATAAGCATGTCAGTAATACACACATTTATTCAATTTCTGGAAGTTTTGCAGACATCTAGGAAATTATGGGGTCAGTAACTGAGTTGACATAGTTTTTCAGAAATATATATATGAAAATCCCCAGAATGACTTTGAGGTGCATATTTTGAGAAAATGAAATGTTTCGTAATATTTTAACTTTTTTTCTTTCTAGTGTTGAAGGGCTCCATGCTATTGTTGTGTCAGATAGAGATGGAGTCCCAGTTATTAAAGGTAAAACTGAGTGCCTGTATGCCAGTGTCATGTTTGCTTTTGACTAAAAACGTTATTTAGGTCTGAGTAGTGCAGAAGGCAAGCATATAAAAGCTATTTTAATAAATCCAGGAGACGGTCTTAGTTTGGGAGGAGACGTTTGCTTTTGTATGTTGAAGACTGGGTTGGAGCGTATAACTTACGACATGTTAAATGCATTGTGTGACTGATTTATCACAAGCCCAGTGTTTCATGAAAGACATTAGTAAATGTCAGTGCTGAGACTGGGCCTGTATGCAGCTACATATATTATACACACAGACTTCCCCCGTTGTCTTATTTTTCAATCAGTACTGCTAGTGGTTTGGGGATAAACTTCCATACATTTGAATTAACATATTGATTGTTTTGTTGAATCTTTATTGATTTTCTCCTTCTTTACTGGAAATAAGATATTTTTTAAACTTTTAACTTCACAATTACTTTAGTTAACCAGACTCTAACAAGACTTTACCTAAAGAAGAGCTTGTTAACCTAAAAAAAAAAAAATTGCTTGGTTTTCAGCTTTTTTTTTTTTTTTTAAGAATTTAGTTATTTATTTGAGAGAGAGAGAGTGCAGGCCAGCAGGGGGAGGGAGAGGGACAAGCCGACTCTGGCTCAAGCCAGAGCCCAATCCCAGTGTGTGGGGCTCTATCTCAGGGCCCTGAGGTCATGACATGAGCCAAAATCAAGAGTTGGTCACTTAGCCGACTGAACCACCCAGGTGCCCCTCAGCTTTTGTCTTTTTTAAGTATATATGATGTCACTGAGTCAGTGTGTATTAAGACCATTTTTACTGCTTGTGTCTCGAGGTATCATCACGTGGATTAGTTCTATAGGGATGCTGTAATAGCTTTACCAAAGAAAGATTAAATGATTTTCTTTACATTTTGTTTACAGTTTATTTTCCACCTGAGGTTATCATACATGTCAGATAATTTTAGACCTTAGAATTGAAAGGAAGTTTAGAAATGACCTAATTTAATTCTTTCATTTTGTAAACAAAGATGGTCAAGTGCAAAGAGTACATTGTTAGTGCGAAGTTGCACATGAGTCAGTGACAAGATAATAATAGAACCCATTATCTGTGTGGTTCAGTGTGCATTCTCACCCACCATAAAACATAGGTGGCCGTGGGCAAGTAAGTCGCCTGCCTTTTTGCATTTACTCAGTTCTGTAATGAGGGCTTTGAACAAAATTAAAATAATCTCCAGCTCTAATGTTCTTTCTTAGGATCTCTGTGTTAAAGCTGTTGGTACAACTAACTCCATTCAGGCCTTTTAATGAGTGAAAGAGACTTAAAACAGACAGTCAGCTGCAAAATTATTAACATCTATAAGTGATACTGCTATAAGTTTTATGACCGCAAATGTTTTCTGGAAGTTTTTTTCATGATTTTATTCTAGCTTGGCTCTCAGTTAACGAGAATATTCAGTTTATTAAACATACTGATTAATTTGTTTTAAAGCAGATATTAAGAAAATATAAATGTTTAGTATTCATTAAAAAAAGTTGTGAGAATCAGTATTTCTTCCCTTAGTTATGATCACTCAGTTTCTGATTGAGCAGTTTTTCTCATCTAAATTGACAGGACCCAACTAGTGATACGATTTTCAGTATTGTGAAGTATAATAACCCTTGTGCTCAAAATTTTTACTGATTTATGTTAGAAAAAAAAGTGCAGTTAAAGTTCTATCATATCCACTGCATGATTTTTATTTAAGTCATTTGTATTTCCAGTGGCCAATGATAATGCCCCAGAACATGCTTTGAGACCTGGTTTCTTATCTACTTTTGCCCTTGCAACAGACCAAGGGAGCAAACTTGGACTTTCAAAAAATAAAAGTATCATCTGTTACTATAACACCTACCAGGTAGGTTCATAATTATTGAATGGTTTGCTGCTTTCACCTATTAATATGTCTTCTATATAAAATAGCTTATGTTGTTAGTCTCAATTTTAGTTTTGAAGTGTGGATGGCATTTTAAAATCTTAGCCTTCAAATTGGTTGTGTTGAATTGTAGTAATTGTCTTCACATTTTATACCAGGAATTAATTGATGTGGAAAAGTAATTAAAAGATTTATTAATAAAATACATTATCCTAAAAAGGGAAGTCAGGTAATAGTGACTATTACCTCCAGTAGATGGTGCCCTTAGCTTAACAAATGTGATTTCTCAAATAACACACTTTTTTTGTTGTGACAGATAAAAATTTCCCTTGATGGTTAAATGATAAGTTATTGAAATTTGTTATTGCTGCTAATTCCTTCATTTGGTTTGGAAGATATATATCATGAGTGAGTTATTATGAAAGAATTTCATTGCTGCATACCTCTCGATCTCTAGCTGCATTTTCTTGTTTAGAATAAATTACTAGCTTCTTCTTTAGAGCAGTGTTTCCCAGAGTTTGATTCCTGTACTGCTGATGTCACACAAGGGATGTTTTTATTTTAAAAGTTCATATTTTCATGTGTATTGGGCAAAAGGTAACCAACCTTTTGACCTTTAATTTCATCGATAAGGATTAGTTTGAAGCTAAGTTCTTTTAAACGATAGTTGATTTGAGGTTAACTTAAATTTAAATTAATAGTGGTACACAGGAAGCAGGAAAATCATGAAGGTATAACTACTTGAATGAGACATACTGACTTCAGCCATTTAATTTAATTAACAAGTGTTTCTGGAGCCCCTGCCATGTAATAATTGACACACCACTGGGCTTTGGGAGCTAAAGAGGTGAAGATAACATAGCCCTGCCTTCAGCTCTGCAGGCTGAGTAATGATAATGTCTCTAAGAGATACTCAGTAAGTCTCTTGTACGGAAATACTTATTTTTAGCTCTTTCATATTACATGATGGTAGGTAGTATCTTACACATTGGCCATTTAAATAAAAGTTTTGGAAAGATCGAGGTATTTCATTTGAATACATATTATTTAAATCTTACTTTCTTTTTAGGTGGTTCAATTCAATCGTTTACCTTTGGTGGTGAGTTTCATAGCCAGCAGCAATGCCAATACAGGTGTGTTTTAACTATTTTAGATACATCTTTTAATTTCTTCTAACACCATACAGTCTAATATGCTAGGAGTAGTAGATTTAGAGTCAGAAAACCTGACTTCATGGCCCAGCTCCACCATCTATTCCCTGGTCTCCAGAAGAGTAACGTATGTGGATTCCGTTTTCCCTAGCTGTATAGTGGAGCCAATATCTGCTCTTTCTGTCTCATGGGCTTATTTTCTAGTTCAAATGAGACATTTTGTGGGTAAGTGATCCTTTAAGATAGAAAGGAAAATTTAAATTATCTTCACCCTTGAATGCTACATCTTGTTCACATTAAAACAGCTTAAGAAAACACAAAAAGAGGGGGCACCTGGGTGACTCAGTTGTTGAGCGTCTGCCTTCGGCTCAGGTCATGATCCCGGGGTCCTGGGATCGAGTCCTGCATCAGGCTCCCTGCTCAGCAGGAAGCCTGCTTCTCCCTCTCCCACTCCCCCTGCTTGTGTTCCCTCTCTCACTATCTCTCTCTCTGTCAAATAAATAAAATCTTTAAAAAAAGAAAACACAAAAAGAGTAGAGAAGATAACCAAGCACATAAAACAGTCAATGGATAAGTTCAATTCTTTTTTTTTTAATTTTTTTAAAGATTTTATTTATTTATTTGACACACAGAGAGAGAGAGAGAGGCAGAGAGCAAGTACAAGCAGGGGGAGCAGCAGACAGAGGGAGAGGGAGAAGCAGACTCCCTGTGGAGCAGGGAGCCCGATCCCAGGACCCCAGGATCATGACCTGAGCTGAAGGCAGACGCTTAACGACTGAGCCACCCAAGCACCCAGGATGAGTTCAATTCTATGTAGACCCATCTATTAGAGTTTGTAAAATCTTCAGTGATAGTGGGCAAGATTAATGTGATTGAAAATTCTAAGAGCGGGACTTAGGATGAACTTAGATGTGTTCTTCCTGAGGGTTGAAGAATTTGAGAACAAATGCCAGGATGCTGTACTTTCTGTAGCAGATTGTAAGATCCCGTTTTATCCAGTAGCCTTCACTGGATATTTATGTTTGAATCAATGACTGTATTCTGTAATTTGCATACTCCCTTTTGGATAAAGTGGGGATTTTTTTTTTTTTAAGTCTTGTCTTCTTTAGATTTGGCTGCCGTTTAGAACTGTTATGCATTCTTTTTCTGTTTTTTTTATTTCCAAGTTGTTTGAGCAAGTCATTTTCCAGCTATGTCACTGAAACCTGTCTTTAGATTCCTCATCTTTAAAATGAGGGGTTTAGATTTAATGATGTAGAAGGTTTCTTCCATTAATGTTTTAAAGCTGTAAAATGCTCTATGTGAAAACACTTTGTAAATTATATAGGATAGTAGTGGTGTTGATATTTAAAGTATATTAAACCTCAATTGTGATAAATCACCATCATGTACTAAATCATCAGTTGTTATAAATTTTGATAATGTACAGAATTATATTTTAGTATCTAGAACATTTTTTTGAGGATCCCAGATGCTTTTAATATACTGTGAAATAGAGGAAGATCTTTGAGCATAAAACAAACTAAGATGTATAAGATTATATCTTACTATATATTAGATAAGATATATAAGCTTTTCACTCTGGTAAACTAAGGAGAAGCTAGATATGCTCATTTCTAGACTACTTTGTCTCCCAGATTCAGCACTGAATTTTATTTTATTTTATTTATTTTTTTAATTTCTTTTTTATTTTATTTTGTTTTGTTTTGTTTGTCACCATACAGTACATCATTAGTTTTTGATGTAGTGTTCCATGATTCATCGTTTGCGTATAACACCCATGCAGTACATCAGCAGTGAATTTTAAACATGGAAGTGTATGTTTTATACTCCTACCATTCATCTTTAAAATTAATTTTTTCACTTGAAATACCCATTTATACTTTAGCTTCACCAAATTTATAAAATAAGTTTATAATATTTCTTTGCTCAAGGTTGAAGCAGGTGGTCTACCTCTATTTTGATAAAGTCCATTAAAATTTGTTCGGGAAAAATGTACCTTTTTAAGTAAAAATCTTATATCATTTCTGAATCGGTACAGATTTTGTTTTTGGTTTTTTGGTGGTTTTTTTTTTTAAGATTTATTTGATCGCTTCTCGGCCTTTTGGCTAAGATCAAGTGTAAGATTTATTTATTTGACAGTACAAGCAGGGGAAGTGGCAGGCAGAGGGAGAGGGAGAAGCAGACTCCCTGCTGAGCAGGGAGCCCGATGTGGGGCTCGGTCACAGGACCCCAGGATCATGACCTGAGCCGAAGGCAGTCACTTCACCAACTGAGCCACCCAGGCGCCCTCAGTATAGATTTTGAAACAAAGTATAAATTAAAGTTTTCCTTTCAAAACTAACAAAATTACGGTGCATATAATTCATTTCTTATCTTCTAATACATATAAATATTTTTCACTTTAATAATAGATGATGAAAATAAACTTCATAATGAAAAGAGCTTTTGATTAGTTAGAATTACAGTATTTTGCTTTATTTTGGGGGAATAAAGATCTTGTTTGCTTTTTAGAAACTAAATTTTGACAGGAGGAGATCTAAGTCAAAGACTTTTTCAGGAACATTTTTCTGATGTTCTAATTTTCTTAATCTCTGTTTTAGGACTCATTGTCAGCCTGGAAAAGGAACTTGCTCCATTATTTGAAGAATTGAGACAAGTTGTGGAAGTTTCTTAATCTGACAGTGGTTTTGATGTACACTTTATTTCCATTATAACAGAGAAAATATCAGTCCAGCAATCTTTAGACCACAACAGTCCTTGTATCCATGTACTCAAGAAAGGGCCCTTTTTCCCACCTGACACTAAAGAAGGAGCCCATAGATATAATTTATGGACAGATTGATTGTTATCTTTTCTTGTATAGGGTCTTTTCTTGATGTAGTGAGATCTGGGGATACCACAGAGATGGTTCGGTACATCACAGCTCCCATGGAGTTAGTCCAGTCACAAATATGCATGAGATACTATTCAGTGGGTCAGAACCAAAATGGTACTTTGATCCACTTGAGCCATTAAGTGCTCCCTATTATATAGTATGCCCAGGCCTGCAGAATTAAGCAGACCCTTTTATTGTGAATAATAATGAGGACATATTTTTCTTTATATTTTATTTCTTTGCATTGAGTGTGAGGAAGATAAAATGGCTTAGTAAAAGTAATAAAATCAGTACAATCACTAACTTTTCTATGTATATATTATTTTGCAATACAGATGATATTACTAATTGACTTGATTATTCTCAGAGGGTGCTGCTCTTTAATGAAATTGAAATGATAGCTAATGGTTTTTTTTCTCCACTCTGCTTTCTATAACCAATCAGTCTTTTAATGTTTGTGTGTTCTTTATAAAATTTAGATGTGATTCTTGATTGGGTTCTGCTTCCAATATTGGTATGTATGTAAACATGGTAGTACAGCCATTTTTTTTTCATACATGAGTATAAATAAAATAGTATTTTTTAAAGTATAGTTTGAGCACTAAATAGGTTTCTTTTCCGGCTTCTTTCAAAAGTTTAAAGAATATAATTAAGTGAAGTCACTCTTTCAACTACATGAATAAGCAGTGAGTGTTGCTTATAGATACTAGTTTGGAGACTGTTTTACCTAGTGTCAGTAGGAATGCAAACCTTATCCATGAGCCTCATTTAATCTCTACAAAAGAAGTATCTCGGTTCTAGAATGTGCCCTTTATATTTAGGAAGGCAGTCCATCATTCAGAGTTGTTGGTTTCCTCCTAGGTTGTTTGACAATCAGTTTGTCACTGGTGGAGGTCAGTGCGCGTGCACTGAACAGCTGGTGTGTGCCATGTACGAGAGCTGCCACGTTGCAGAACTCTAAGGAGGACAGCTCACATCCTATTTCTGTGCTCCTGGGGAGCCTTTCATGTGCAGCGTGTGAATGCTGTCCCTGGATCTGTGCAGTGAGCAGTCAGCCAGCACAGGTGCCCGCTTGTTGGCTTCTCCTTCCCTCCCTCCCTCCTCTTCCCCTCTCCCTGCTTCCTCTTTCTATACAAATATGAAACTAAATTGTAGTACTGTCCTTTAAAGAACTTAGAGCTCGGTAAATAAAAACGGGTATAGGAAGTGCTGTGATAACAGCTCTACAGCTATGAAGCTGTAGAAACCCAGAAAGGGGGGGCATTGAAATTGGGCAAGAGCAACAGCCTTTATGTGGACATAGAGGCAAGAGGGCACGGTTGGCCCACAGGGAGCTAGAGACAGTTCGTAAAACCTAGTAACGCACAAGCTGCGCCCGGTAACAACCTAGAATTACCCCCAAAGTCAAATCAAATCTGGAATTCCCATTGTCTGGATTCTTACTGAATAGTGTCCAGGAGATTTTTGCTAATGTGAAATGTAGAACTTTAATTTCAGGTAAAAATAATTGTATGCCTAAAAAAATCCCAGGAAAGGAAACTATCGTAAATGGAGATATGTTTAACCTTGGCATGGTGAACACTACCTTTGCATGGTGAATACTGCTACTATTGAAATTTCTGTTTGAAGGAGATAGATAAATTGCTCAACAGTTTATCTGGAAAAGTAAGTAGAGGAAGATCACTAAGAAATGTTTGCACAGCTAATGTAAAACTAGATGAACTATTACTTTTTTTTAAAGATTATTTGTCAGAGACACAGCGAGAGAGGGAACAGAAGCAGGGGGAGTGGGGGAGGGAGAAGCAGGCTTCCCGCGGAGCAGGGAGCCCGATGTGGGGCTCGATCCCAGGACCCTGGGATCATGACCCGAGCCGAAGGCAGACGCTTAATGACTAAGTCACCCAGGCGTCCCGATGAACTACTTTTAAAAGGTAGTATAAACTTGATTAGGTATACAATTAGACAGATCAGTGGAACAGACTAACTCAGAAACAGACTTTAGTACATACATGAGGACTTAAAACAATTTGAGGAGGACATAAGTCAGTGGGAAAAGGATTATTCAGTGAGTAGGACAGGCATTTTTTAGCCTTGCTGGTAAAAGTGCATATTGTTATATACCCTTTATATAGGACTGTTTGGCAATCTCTGAAACTTCCAAATGCACATAACTTTGGCCTAGTGTATTAGGATTCCCCAGGGAAACAGAACCAGTAGGATACACATTTTTTATTATGTATAAATATAAATGTTACACAAATATAAAAGCCTTATTGTGAGGAATTGGCTCTCATAATTCCTGGAAGCCGAGAACTGCCATGGGCTGCCATCTGCAAGCCGGAGAACCAGGGGAGCCAATGGCGTGAATCCCACTGAGGGCAGATGAGATAAGATGTCCTAACACGAGGCAAACAAAAGCGGCAGATTCCTTCTTGCCCCAGCTTTTGTTTTAATTTGGGCTTTCAGTAGATTGGATGATGCCCACCCCCACTGCAGAGGGCAGTCCACTTAGTCCACAGGTCGAATGATAGGGGAACATCCTCACAGACACGAAATAATGTTTATTTGGGCACCCTGTGGCCAGTCATGTTGATAAAAAAATTAGTTATCACACCCAGCAATTCCACTTTAGAAATTTCTACTGATACAAATGGACATGTGCAAAATTATATATTTGTAGGTCTGTATTCATTGCAACTTGGTGATATCAAAGGACTGGAAACAACCTAAATATCCCATCATAGATAGGGTGAGCCCTATGTTCTGTGCTTCCTAACAGTACCAGGTTATACCTGCTATTTTTTGTGTAATTATTAATGCTCTTTTTTTTTTTTAAGATTTTTATTTATTTTAGAGGGGGAGGACTAGAGGGGGAAGGAGTAGGAGGGGAAAGAATCCCAAACAGACTCTGTGCCAAGCCCGCAGTGGGCTCCACGACCCTGACCTGAGCCAAAACCGAGAGTGGGTCACTCAGCTGACTGAGCCACGCAGGCGCCCCTATGAATGCTCCTTTCAACTCTCAAGTGTCCCACTTTAGATAAGAGATTACTTAGTCACCCTAATCATAAAGGACTGGTTAAAGAAATTACTACATTTGCCCAATGAGAAAAGAATGGAGAAGTGCTTTAGTTACTGACATAGAAATCCAAGACATGATGTTCGATGAGAAAAGCATGGTGTGAAATTGCATGGTGTGCTGCAGTTCATATATGAAAAAATATACGTGTACATTCATGTTTGATTGTTTATAGTAGAGCAGGATCTGGTAACACTGGTAGCTTCCAAGGAGTGGAGCTAGGTACCTGGGGCACAGGGATCCCAGAAATGAGCCTTTTCACTGTAAACTGCATTGGTGGTTTTTGAATTTTTCACTTCAAAAGTCATAAAATAGGGGTGCCGGGGTGGCTCAGTTGGTTAAGCAACTGCCTTCGGCTCAGGTCATGATCCTGGAGTCCCGGGATCGAGTCCCACATCGGGCTCCCTGCTCGGCAGGGAGTCTGCTTCTCCCTCTGACCCTCCCCCCTCGCATGTGCTCTCTCTCTCTCTCTCTCTCTCTCATTCTCTCTCTCAAATAAAATCTTTAAAAAAAATTCATAAAATATTCCAGCAAACAAAATAATATGGAGAGGGAAATCATATCAGAAGCAGGAGGATAGATGTGTATGAAGTGTATTTCACTGGGTTATGTGATTGTGAAGGCCGGGGTTAACCCCGGCCAGGAGGCTGGGCCAGAAGGCTGGGCAACCTCAGGCAGGAGCTGAACTGCAGTCTTCAGGCAGAAGACCTGATTTCTCGTGGAAACCTCAGTTTTGCTCTTAAGGCCGGCCTTTCAACTGGTTGGATGAGGCCTGCTCATATTACGGAGGATAATCTCTTACTTAGATTCAATGGATTGTAGATGGACGTTAAGCACACCTTACAGAACACACAGCAACATATAGATTCATGGTCTCTTGAATAATGGGGGACTGCAGCCTTGCTAAGTTGACACCTAGAACTAACCTTCACAGTCTACCCTTGTCAGCTTGGCATCATAGACATGTTCCTAAAGCACACTTAGCCTCCAAATAAAGTCAGTAACCAAGTTGTATTTCTGTCAATCAAACATCAAACAGCTAACCCACATGCAGAGAACATGTTCACTCTCCCCAGAGGAGGATGCAGAGTTCTTGGGGGATGTTCACTTTTCTCCTTCGTATATTATAGTTTAAATGCTCTGATGTAAGGTTAAGCACGTTTAAAACATCTTAATGTTAGATGATAGGTTACAAGAGGGAAGAAAAAAATTGCTTGATATGTGTGTATTTATAATACATATTTGTTATGTACACACAAAACAAGAAGTGTAATAATCACAGGCCTTGTTTCTCAACTGAGTATGTAGTTGTAGCTGATGTTTATAACTGCCTTCCATTACTCATTCCATACTCCCTCTGCCCTCAGCGAGCACCTCAGCTGGTCACGGCTCTGCCTGTGGGATGACCCAAACCTTTATTCCTGAAGAATCCAAGCCATTGGTTGTCCTGCCTGAATTGAATTGTAGTTTTCCATTGACTTTAGTCACAGGACTCGGTGGCACTGAGATCCCCTAGAGGTTGTGCTGTGTTGTGAACATACTCTCCCCTCCATGGTGCAGTCGCAGCCCAGTTTCCCCCTGGTAATCAGGATCAGTCACCTGGGCCAGTACAGCCATTCCCTTCCTTATCTGTTGTATCAGAGACAGGAGCCCAAAGTAGCTGGTAGCAGTCTTAATGTCCCGTTGAGTAGGTCACTGTTGTGTCTCCTGGTGGAAGCATTCCTCCCTTTGGAACAAGAACCTCTAGGCTAGCACAGTCTAAGAACCTGGGGACACCGCCCCAGCCCAGCTAGGTACTGCCGCGTCCAGGGAGTGCTGTAACTGAGTCTTCAAAAGTCCGTTCCACCATTCTATCGGGCCTGCTGCTTCAGGACGATGGGGAACATGGTAAAACCAACAAATTCCATGAGCAATATGAGAAATCTATTGCCTCCAAAATCCAAAGAGGCCCTTTAGGTATTGTGCCTCTTCTTTGGCTGTGAAAGGGGCCAGATGCAACCAGTTAGCCTTCACCTCAGGAAAGCGCTCTCGAGCTGTCGCATACCACCGGAGCTCTAGAATTTCAGTGAGGTGGAAAGCTCCCGAGTTTTTGCTGAATTTCCCACCCTCAAACAAATGTCTCACCACTAAGTCTAGAACAGTTGCTACTTCTTGCTCCTTAGGCCTGATCCGCTTAATGTCATCAACGCAGTGGACCCATGCAACGTCTTACGAGAAATGCGATCAAGGTGAGTGTGGACGAAATTATGGCATAGGGCCAAACTGAAGTAGGATTAACCTCCGAGGAAGGAGAGCGAAAGGTGGATCGCTGGCCTTGCCAGATAAAGCCAGCTGCTTCTGGTAGTCTTTACTAACAGCGAAAAACATTTGCCAGATCAATAGCTGCATGTGGGGACCACGGGCTGTGTTAACCTCCTCAGGCAACAGAATCACGCCTAGAACCGTAGCTGCAGTGTAGTCACCCCCTGATTGATAAGCCACAGTCAGTTCTCTAAGATCCATCTGTTTTCTACACAGGCCAAATAGGTGGGCTGCGTGAGGATGCGGTGCAAGTCACCAGCCCTTCATCCTTCAAGTCCTTGATGGTGACGCTAAGCTCTGAGACCCTTCCAGAAGTGTGGTATTGCTTCTGGCCTATCTCCATAGGCAGAGGCAGTTCTAGTGACTTACATAGTATATGTTACGTTGTATTATAGGTTAGCTTGACCTCTTCATGTCAGAACCCCTCCAAAAATGACTCTGTCCCTGCTGAGGTGTACTCTCCCATCATAGAGCTTTGTGTGCCTCGCATGCAGAATTTGTCTTACTTCTATACATTATCATGTAGGTATTATCTTTTCTTTCTTTCTTTCTTTCTTTCTTTATTTATTTTTTGAGATTTTATTTATCAGAGAGAGAGAGACAGAGGTAGGCAGAGGGAGAAGCAGGCTCCTTGCTCAGCAAGGAGCCCGATGTGGGACTTGATCCCAGAACCCTGGGATCATGACCTGAGCCGAAGGCAGACGCTTAACCGACTGAGCCACCCAGGCGTCCCTCTTTTCCTTATTTAATTAAGAACTCCCTCAGGACCGGCACTATCTCTAACGGAAGTGGGTTCTTCATGGCCATTGATGACATTAATCCGGTGTATTTCTTTTTAAATTACAGATATTAAAAATATATTTTAATAGCAAAATATTACAGGCACAGCAAAATGCTCTTTTTAATAAACTTAACCAAAGAATATAAATAAACATGACATATTTTACAAAAGGTAAGAATGGTATTACCTACACAAAGAAAAACTCTTGGTTCTAAGAAAACAAAACCTAAACTGCACCTCTCAGTGAGGATTCATTTTCAACTCCTTACTTGGTGAACCTGACAGAATACATTTTAACTTGACGTTTGGTTTATCTCATATGATACACACATAACAAAATACATTAAAAACCTTGTTGAAATACACAAAAATGTAATATAACTAATGAGTCCTGGATGTTTAAATAACAGAAGAAACTTATTTATCAAGGTATGCTCTTGGACTGCAAAAGCAGTGTTGTATCAGAGCTTTGCACCATACTCTTTTTTTATTTTGGGGTCTCCACTTTTATCTCCCTTCAAATGTCTACCTAAAAAAGCAGTATTCATAAAGATAAGGCAAGGAAGGGGTTAGAATCTATGAGCTCTGGATGCCAGCATCTTGTTTCCCGATTTCAACCCCCTTATTCTAGCTTGAAAATGCGGTGTAACACATCATCATATATTTCACGTGGATTTAGTGTTGCTCCTTCAACCGGCAACAGAAGTTGCTCCTGAAGAAGGGCTCAGGGTGCTCGGCGATCGCAGCGCAAGGGGAATCTTACTTCCCCTGGGCCAACAGGGGCAGCTCACCCTGGGGGCGAGATTGGCATAGCACATTCTTCTCTGCTTGAAAAGTCTCTCCGTCTGTGTGCAGAAATGTTGGATGCAGACAACTTGGTGCTTCCAAGTGCTCTATTATTGTTATAGTGATAACATCCCAATTATTATTATTAAACTCCAAGTTATATACTATTTTATTCCCTTTTCTCACTTTATGTTTTCTTACTCTTTAAAACCTTTCCCCCCCAAAATGATTAAGAGATGTTTTTTAGGTTTTACCTTCATCTTTATCATCCTACCTGACGTCCTACAGGACATTTAGTTCTCACAGGCTTATTATTAGAAGGGAAGGCAGGATCCACTACATTTCTGAGCCTTTGACGAAGAGAAAATAGGTAACCGTGAACATTTCCCATTTTAGTTTTGGAAATTGTTTTGTTTTCTGTATAAAGAAAAAAAAAAGCAAAAACAATGCACCCCCACCCCCAGTCTTTGGTGTTTGCGATTTCCATACGCTTTCTGTAGAAGCAGTCAGAGGACGCAGCTGTCCCCTTCCCAGTGGACAGCAAGACCCGGATTATCAGATGGGCTGAGCGGGATGCAGAATGGGACTCCAGGCAGGTAATGTCAACCAGCTTGGGGACCACAGTGAGGGAAAACAAAAACCCTTGATCTTCTCTGGCGCGCTCTAAGAGTGAGCATGCCTGGGCTGGTGGTCTCATTGGTTTCCGTCAGATCGGTGACGCTTTGGTCTTCTCCAGGAGACGACAATATCTTGAAAGGCAGGCAGTGACCTGTGAGACTGCAAATGTGGTGGGTTCTGAAGGTCCAAATCCGCATCTGCTTTTGATTTGTTTTGAAAGAAAAATCCTTAGCTTTCCTCTGGGTCACAGCGTCAGAGACCATGCCACCCTGCTCCTGGGTCAGGGCGTCCTGGGTCAGATAAAGGTCTACTTAAAGATGAATGACCGAGACCGGATTGTGCCTTCCCTTTGATCAAGCTGCTTTCTTATTTGAGACTATAATAAAGCAAACGCACATGCCTATTGATTATTGAGCAATTTTAAGATAATGCACTTAACAGATATTAAATAAGACCTGCTGTTACTGAGGACACCGTGCAACTATAAATTAATCAACATGTGACAATTTTCAGTATGGTTTTCTGTATTTTTCTCAGGATAAATACTGTGAAGTCGTTGCTAAAACGTGCAAATTGGGAATCTAAATTTATTGATAGGGAAAAATGTTTATAATACATCGTCAGTGGAGTGCACAGGTAAAGAACACTAAAGAGTGATAAATTTTTTGTTTTTGAATATTTGCACAGGGAGAAGTCTGCAAGTGTGTGAATTTGATATAGTTTTGCCTTAACTTTTCCTCTAATAATGATGTGTTACTTGCATAATTACAAAATACGAAGAATAAAAAGTTGACTCATATCTGAGCAAATGTTTCACGTGGCAAAGTATTTCCCCACTGAATATCAAATACATTGGGGCTATCTCAGAATGAGTGGTCTTTTCAAACTAAAAAGATAACGAAAAGCAAAAGTCCCAGCATCTGGAAAAAGAATACTCAACAAGTTTCTACATATCAGCTAATTACATAAAAACAAATTAGGAAAAATTGTTTACGTTCAAAAACATCAAGGGTTTCAAGATGGTATTTATGGAAAATTTTAGAAGGCTTTAAGGACAAGTTCTTGATTAACAACTCACTAAGTTGCAAACACATACACAAAAAAAATGTATGAGACTGGTAAATTTTTATAAGCACTTCTTCTCTCCCCCCTTCACCCCCGGGAGGTATATAGGAAGCAGATCAAATAAACTACATTTTGTCCTTGATCTTCACAAAGTAACACACTACAAGCTAAGTTAAGTTCCTCTGGCAAGCTTCCTCCTCTATTTAAAAGGATTTTCTACTATAGAAATATGTTAACTTTCCTCTGTCTGAACTTCGGATCCCACGTGTCCTCCTCCAGGCAAGACTGGACTGACCAGGCTGCACGCTCAACGAAGACTAATTTACTTGAGGGCCCGAGGCTAAGGTTCTGGCGCTGAGATCCCAGTGTAGCTCTGTCCTTTCTCTTTTACCCCCGTCTGCGTGCCTTCTGTGTCTCACAAGAATGAGCAGACTATTCCATAAGCCTGTCAGTGGACATCCCATTGACTCTTGGGAATAGTCCGACACTTTCAACAGAAATATGTTTGAATTTGTCAACATGTTATTTTTGAGTACTAGGCATCCAGAGGACTTGGTACAACTCACCAGTTTCCAGCGTAATATCTTGATCCACTCATCAGCTTCTACTCCTGTCTTTGCACAGAGATAAAATGTCCTGAATGGAAACACTAAGCTGAGAAGACAAAAGAAAAACTTAAGATAGTCCAGGTGGTTGGTTGAATATATTAGTTGAACAGTAATTAGAATATTCAACAGGAAAAAAAGACTCAACGAAGAGCAACTTGAAGACTTGTCAGATACAGAGCGATTCCTGCCAGCAAACAGGAGAAATGTTGAGGAAGCTGGAGATTCATATTATCACCAGCCAGATTTGTATTTTCTAATGAGAATTCAAAAAAGAAAAAAACCCATGTCCAGGACACCCCCCCCAGATCCCTTTATCGCTTCTGTCTTAGACTGAATACAACACTTGGGTGTTTATTCAGCTGATGTGTTAAGTGACTCAGAACCTGTGCCATGAGTCAAAGAATAAGCAAGACAGATAAGAATTTGCTGAAGAAACTCATTTGTGTCGGCTTGATTCGATGAGAAACAAGTTACCCTCTGTGGATGTAGGCAGTTTTAACTATTTGGGACAGGAAAAATAAGATAAATCTCCTCAACTATTCATTTTGCCCGCTCTGTCATGAATTACTCTCTGCTGGAAGAAGACAAACTTTCCTACTGGCATGAACAACTCTTCATGGACTGTATCTCTGGCTATATAGTCAAATCTTTTGACTAATGAGGTCAGCACATCGTGCCCATACTTCCTGTCCTTACAGTTGACATGCAAAACACTATAAATCCTTTCTCCCCCCCCCCATGAAAAAAAAAAAAAAAGCCTTGACCTGAAATTCAGAAGGGTTTCTATATCCCTAGAGCCAAAGCAGCATATCATGTTCATATCAGTAATGACTGTTGAATAGACAAGACGTAAGTCCCTGTGTATAGAAGGTAAACCTTGATGTGAGGTCCTACTGGGCAGTGAGGGGACTGTGGGCGGGGGTGGTGTTACCGTGCTCACACTGTACAAAACTGCTTTCTGGAATTGTCATTGTTTGGTACTCCCTGTGAGAGACGTTGTTAATTGCCTATTAATGCAGATAATGTTTCCTTTCTCCTTGCTAACAGAACCCCAGGCAATAAATGATAATTAGTCGGAGCCAATCATGATCTTAACTAGTTTTCTAGCTTCCCCTGCTGCTAGCGATGGCCATGGAACCCAGCCTTGGCCAATGAAATAGGAGGGGAAATCTGATAGAAGATTTCTGAGAAAATGTCTGCCTTCCTGATAAAAAGGGACAGACATGGCTGATACCACCCCTACATCCTTCTTTATGACTGACATGAACGCTGGAGTAGCTCTTGGACACTAAAGTAGCAAGTGAACTGCTAAAGGCCAAGAGGATTGTAGAGATGCCGGTGCTGGTCTTGCCAAGCTAGCTACCTGCCTCTTGATATTTTGTTACATAGGAAATAACCTCCCCCTGCTGGCTCGTATGGTACATTTAAGTGAATTTGAAAAAGATTTCCATTATTGGTTGCTGTTAATGTTAATTAATGTTAATTTTGGGGGCGATGTAATGGTGACATTTTTATTCTTAGGAAGTGCGTACTCAGGTATATAGGGGTAAAGTGCCGCAATATCTCCAACTTACTTTCAATGGGTTCAGGAGAAAAGTGAATAGAGATAAAGCAGATATGGCAAATATTAATGATGCATATAGCTGAAAGGTATACGGGTATTTAAGTCTTTCAACATTTGTTATGTTTGAAAAACATTAAAATAAAACTTTGTGGGAAATAAGACACTCCTTTTTCAAGACACTACTTCTCCTAGTTAGAAAATTGCCATGATATACTCATGAGGTTAGAACAAAAACACTTTTGTGCCATCTGCCAGAAACTGTCATAATAATACAAATCACCCATTGTTGGAGTCAAAATTAAAATTGAGTAAAAAACTTCAAAGGAATAAGACATGAATGGAATCCTATTATGTATATACTTACGCAGTGTACAACATAAACAATTGTAGCCACTGGACCTGCCTATTTGTTTAAGTCACTTTATTTATTTTTAAGGATTTTATTATTTATTTGAGAGAGAGCATGAGCAGGGGGGCAGGGGGAGTGGGAGAGGGAGAAGCAGACTCCCCGCTGAGCAGGGAGTCCGATGCGGGACTCGATCCCAGGACCCCAGGATCATGACCTGAGCCGAAGGCAGACGCTTACCGACTGAGCACCCCAGGCGCCCCCCAGCTGAAGTCACTTTAAATGAGGTATTACGTCACACTCAGCTGGAAGCACTGCTGACTACGTGCCCTGTGTGTTAGTTAAATCCATGCCCCTCAGATCAAGACACTCGTACACATTAAGACATACAGGTCTTTTTTGTTTTTGTTTTTGTTTTTCTTAATTCCCCAGCTAAAATAATTGGCAAGAAGACTTTTAAAATCATTTTCTTTACAAAACAACTTACCAAAAACAATTTACTCTTTCCTGTGAATAATCAAATTGCACAGCCGAACATTCTGTCAAATCTAGGATCCGAATTGGTTCTGGTGACTTAAAAAAAAAAAAAGGCAACCTATGTCATCACAAAAAACCACACAAATTTGTTAATCACTTAGTCTCCTAAAAATCTTCCACTGCATGCACCTGTCAATTTTACTTTCACTAAAGGTACTGATCATAGAGAAGCTTACTCAGGGAAGTCATAACCCCCGGTTTGGGGATTGGCTATTCATGAGACTGGATGTTAGGAAGATTGTCTTAATCAATTTAAATTTAGTAGAGGTATTTTAAACATGGAAAGGAGTCATATTTTTCTTTCGTGTTTTTAAACTTCGACTTTCTCGGAAATTTGGTATAGGGAAAGTGAGAAGAAATAAAATAATTTCAAATTGGCTTAATGAAATGGGCACGGGAAATGGACACGGTTTTTTGTTTGTTTTATTTTTTTTATTTTTATTATTTTTTTTTTAAGTAGGCTCCATCCCCAGCGTGGAGCCCAATGCGGGGCTTGAACTCACAACCCTGAGATCAAGACCTGAGCTGAGATCAACAGTGGGATGCTTAACTGACTGAGCCACCCAGGCACCCCACAAATGGACATATTTTTTAAAAAAATTTTTTAAAGATTTTATTTATTTATTTGACAGAGAGAGAGACAGTGAGAGAGAGAACACAAGCAGGGGGAGTGGGAGAGGGAGAAGCAGGCTTCCCGCCGAGCAGGGAGCCTGATGTGGGGCTCGATCCCAGGATCCTGGGATCATGACCTGAGCTGAAGGCAGACAGTTAACTGACTGAGCCACCCAGGCTTCCCATGGACATATTTTTAATAAAGGGAGAAACTGCTGCAGAGAGAGCTCATACATCATGACAAGAGAACAATCCCATTGCCCTAAACAAGGAGATGATGTGCCCTGGGGAGCTAGTTTAGCCAGTTTCTGGGACACACATCTCATCCTTGCAAAAGCACTCTGCTCAAGGCTCCTGGCTGGCTCAGTAGGCAGATCATGCAGCTCTTGATGTTGGGGTCATGAGTTTGAGCCCCATGTTGGGTGTAAAGCTTACTTAAAAAGAAAAAAAACTCTGCCCCTATCAGGAATCAAGAATTCACATTTCCAATCATTTATTGGTGTTTCAGGTGCTCATAAGGAAAATTTCAGAGATTTCAAAGGCAGATGTTCCTTCCATCTAGAGAGCTGATCTTTTATTATGTTCAGTTAGAGCTGATGTTTAAAGGGAAAATGTATTATCATGTTTCTTACCATCTGGTCTTTGAAGTATTTCAGTTCATTCCTGTGCAACGTGAACCATCTTGTTTTCCAGGTCTGAGAAAAAAAATAATTAAAACGTGTAGGTTTTGGATCGAGGAAGGTAATGTTTGAACTGGACAATTTCCTTTCATTTGAAAACTATCTAAAAGATAAGGTACAATAAAATATTGTTGCGGTAAGTCATTGCTGAAGAAAAGCTTCAAAATATCTACAAAAACTAAAATGATTCCATGCATGAAGTTCATAATGAAGGCAGAGATATTGACATGTTTAAACAAATAAGAATAAATAGTCTATCATAAATATCCAAGTTGATTTATAACAAACCACTAGGTGTCTGTCTTATTAACTCTCTAATAAGAATAGATACCATTTTGTGAGCACCTACTATGGGCTAGGTACCATCCTTGAGGTTTATGGGTATGATAGCCAATGTTTACACAATGCCAAATATTCTCATTTCACAAATATGCAAATTGAAGTTTAGGAACCTCAAACCACAGGATTTTCTAAGACTTGCCTAAGAATGCCATGGTATTGGTGGCGGGCACTGTTGCCCACCTTCTCCCTCTTACGTACTAACAGAACCCCCCTCTTATCTTGGGCAGCAATGTGCCCAGTTAAAAGAAGTAACAGAGAACTCGAAAATAAATATGCTATGAGTATAAATACTTCTTATCCTTAGGGAGCATCCTGTCTAGTAGGGACACAAAATAACCAAATATTTAGGTTGAATTCAAGTGGGCCGGTACCCATGAGACAGGTTAAGACCCCTGACTCTTAAAATAGGGAGGAGTGGACATATTCCATGAAGGCCTTCTTGAATATTAAAATGAAGCAGCATAACTTGAAAAGTACAATTACGTCCATGGAGGGACAGTCGGATACCCCAGACTAGTAAAGTTTTAAATTGTGTTTTCTTTGGGATTTGATAACAGTTACATTAATGCCAGTGATGTTTTGGCCTGCTTTTAGTAAACATTTTATGCAATTTTGACTTCTTCTTTGTTTAAAAAAAAAGAAAAGAAATATTCTAGAGTTAACTTGCTACTTTTCATCCAGCTTGTTCCATTAAAAGGACTGTATGTTTTGGGCGGTCTTAACGGGAGGCTACTCTCACACACATTTGACTTTGCCAAAGAAAAGTCAAGAGATTTTCCAGAATTTTGACTAATATTAGTCGTAAAGATCAACTCTTGAAACAGAAAGATATTATAGTGGGTCAAAATGAGTAGGCAAATAATGCTTTTAAAAAATGTCAAAGCAAGAATTGAGTCTACATGAGATGTCTCTGTGGCCGGGGCTAGCAGAAACATGCTTTCTTACCTTGACCAGGCCCCCCTGTTTGGTGAGGTAACCTTCTTTGGTGCCCAGCTGAAAAAGAAAAGCACCAAGTGAAGCCCAGAACTATCGCAACACGATTTTTGTCTTTCTATTTCTGTCCTATTTTAAAATGAAACACTGATTTGCCTTTGATCTTTAAATAATCGCCTTACATTCTTCACCTAGGCACTTGAAAATCCTCCCTACGTTGTGGGAGACTGCTTTCAGACTGGGTCGTTGGGGGGAATTCTGTAGCAAGAGGCAACAACTGAAAGACTCTCTTCTAACCTGAGTTAGCAATTTGCAAGCAATAAGCCACATCCCATCACTTGTAAAAGTCAGTGTTGGGCAGTGTGTGTTGTGTGAAACCCAGCTGATGAAACCGTTGCAGGGGTATTACGCACAAATATGTGCACGTGTGTGCGTGCACAGCACACGCATACACACACACACATTGACATTGGGTCAATACATTTGGAAAACACTGGATGAAGTAGAGGGATTTCTTTACTTCCCAGAGAATGTATTATGCCAGTATGCCTTGTGAATTTTAAGAAGGAACATGAGAAATAGCATTTCCAATATTTATTTTATCACGTGATCCTCCCCCATTCCAGGTTCCCCCCCACCCTGCTCCCTTTTTCCAGGTTCCCCCCCACCCTGCTCCCTTTTTCAGAGACCATCTCTTGCGACCTCTGTTCTGTGGAAAAGACTTTCAGGAACGTAGATTTATTTACACTTGATTTATCTAAAAGGGATTTGAAGTGACAATGAATCATTTCCTAACTCACATAGCATTAGTTCAAGGGTAACAACATCACACACGTAGCTAGTGCCTATAAAATGTAAGGAATGGTGGGGAACTGGGCAAATAGAAATAATGCATAAAACAAGAACCCTAAGATGAAGAAATTTAGAACCTCATACATTCCCAAAGAAACTGAATTCTGGGGCACCTGGGTGGCTCAGTTGTTAAGTGTCTGCCTTCGGCTCAGGTCGTGATCCCAGGGTCCTGGGATCGGCCCGCATCGGGCTCCCTGCTCAGCGGGAAGCCTGCTTCTCCCTCTCCTACTCCCCCTGCTTGTGTTTCGTCTTTCGCTATCTCTGTCTGTCAAACAAATAAAATCTTAAAAAAAAGGAAACTGAACTCCTTGTGGGACATTTCGTTCTAGAACGATGTTACATTGGTAAGATAACAGAACAAAGAAAAATGTTGCAGAAGCAAAGGGAACAGAAATCTCACAACAGGGAAGCTAAGGAAACTGACATTTTAGATTGGGACCTATTCTACCTCAGGCTTGTGAAATAGATTATCTCACTTAATCTCCATCAACACAACAAATTGGTATTTCACGTTTCCCAGGTCCAGAACAGAACTGCTCATTCCCATCCCCCAAACCCACCCCTCCTGCCACCTTGGCCATCTTGGTAAACGTCAGGAGGACCACTGTGTGACTCTCTTACACGTCCCACATGCAATCTGTTGTAAGTCTCATCTCTTCTACTGCACAACACACCCTGAAGTTCACCAGTTCTGATCCCCACTCCCCAGTTTCAACTACCACCATCTCTCACTGGACCGCTGCAACAGCTCCCTCACCGGTCTCCTTGCTCCAACTTTGGCCACATTCCGTTTTCCACTTAGTGGGGATAATGGGCTTTTTAAAAATTTTAAGACTTGGGCGCCTGGGTGGCTCAGTCGGTCGGGCGACTGCCTTCGGCTCAGGTCATGATCCTGGAGTCCCGGGATCGAGTCCCACATCGGGCTCCCTGCTCGGCAGGGAGTCTGCTTCTCCCTCTGACCCTCCCCCCTCTCATGTGCTCTCTCTATCTCATTCTATCTCTCAAATAAACAAAATCTTTAAAAAAAATTTTTAAGACTTAAATTATGTTGCTCAAAACTCTTCATAATTTCTCCTGGACACTTAGAACAAAAATCAGTCCTTTATCTTGTCCTACAAGGCCTTTCATGTTGTTTAAAGGAGACACAGCTGACATTTTGGACAGGAGAATTCTTCCCCATGTGTGGCAGCATATTTAGCCTCCATGGCCCCTGCCCATTGCTGGGAAATAATTCTCCAGGGGCTCTCATGTTTCTGTATATCTTAGGAGCAAGGCACCAACAGCCCTTTGTTCCAGACCCGTATGTATTTTTTTTAAGATTGTTTATTTATTTATTTGAGAGAGAAAGAGAGGGAGAGTGTGCATGAGCGGGGGTGGGGGGGTTAAGTGGGGCGGCAGAGGCAGAGGGAAAGAGAGAAGCAGACTCCCTGCTGAGCAGGGAGCCCAACTCCCAGCACCTTGAGATCATGACCTGAGCTGAAGGCAGACGTTTAACCGACTGAGCCACCCAGGCGCCTCTCAGACCCATTTTTAAAGCATGATTGTAGAGCAAACAATCTTAGAAGATGGAGATCGTGTCTCCCTCCAGAGGAAAAGGCAGCCGACCAGCAGTGTTCCATGAAGCCGTGCAGCTTTGTTAGTCTACAAGCAGGGTAAAGTGTCAGGCTCTTCACAGTTCCTGACGCCCACTAATGCCACCAGGAGCACCCCCAAAGCACTGCAAATTTCCCAGCACTCAGCTGGGCAGCAGGCACTTTAAGAACTCCACCGCCTTCCATGATCGACCCCTCCTTCCCTCAGGAATCTCATCTCCTACCACACTGCCTCTCGCTCACTTCATGCCCAATCATTATGATCTTCTTGCTAGTCTTCAAAACATCTCAGTTTAGTTCCCACCTCAGGGCACTTGTACTGTTCTCTGCCTGCAACACTAGAAAACGCTGATAGTTTTCTGTCTGTATTAATGCACAATAAACTCCGTGGATTTGTCATAATACAGTGTGGGTGCAGCCAGGCCCCACCAATCCCTCACCACTGTTTTAAAAACTCCATTATACAGAACCTTCTGTGTACAGGCATATTGAGATACTTGGGCAGGAGAATCCGTCCTGTCCTTGGAGTGAACAAAGAAGGCAGGCAGTAAGGCTTGCAGAATTTGGCTTAAAGAGGCCTATTTCCACCCAAGGATGCTAGCTTCCTGCTCACACCAGCTCTACAGATCAGGTCCTACATTTTACCGTGGATAAAGAGCACACGTAGTAGGTATATGGTACAACTGTCCCTGGTGGGGATCTTTAGGGGGAGTGTAGCCGAGCAGAGTGTGAAGTTACATGGAAAGGACAGATGAAAGAGACGTTGAGGGGCGCCTGGGTGGCTCAGTCGGTTAAGGCGACTGCCTTCGGCTCAGGTCATGATCGCAGGGTCCTGGGATCAAGCCCCGCATCGGGCTCCCTGCTCAGCAGGGGGCCTGCTTCTCCCTCTCCCACACCCCCTGCTTCTGTTCCCTCTCTCGCTGTCTCTCTGTCAAATAAATAAAATCTTTAAAAAAGAAAGAAAGAAAGAAAGAAAGAAAGAAAGAAAGAAAGAAAGAAAAAAAGAAAAAGAAAGGAAGGAAGAAAAAGACGCTGGGGTGACTGGTGGCGTGAGTATGGGTAAAGAGGAAAGTCAGGGAGGGGTGGGTTGGCTGGAAATCAAAGATTGATTAGGAGGTATGTCTTGATTTGTTCTTTGGTCTGTTTTGACTCGGGACTATTTATGGTCTTGCTTTCCACAATTTTGCTAGTTCTGGGGTTTGATGCTTCCTCCCCTAGCTCTAACAAAGCTAAAATACCTCTTTCAACCATTTTCAGGATTTTTATTTTTGAGTCGATGGAGCACAGAAACAAAAATGTAACGTGCGCCGTGAACCAGGCAACACTCCAAAGCCACAAAGACAAGTCATGATTCGTGTCCCCAGAAGTGTCAGCCCCCCCCCCGGGGGGGTGTTGGGCAGACACCTGTACAGGTAGTTAGCAACCCCCCCGCCCCCCCTCCCCGCCCCATGATTGCAGGATAAAGGCAAGCAGAAGGTGCTTGGAGCACAAAAGAGGGCCATTTTATTTTATTTTATTTAAAGATTTTATTTATTTATTCGACAGAGAGAGAGAGAGAGCAAGAGAGGGAACACAAGCAGGGGGAGTGGGAGAGGGAGAAGCAGGCTTCCCGCGGAGCAGGGAGCCCGATGCGGGGCTCGATCCCAGGACCCTGGGATCATGACCTGAGCTGAAGGCAGATGCTTAACGACCGAGCCACCCAGGCGCCCCAAGAGGGCCATTTGAAAGAAAGTTAGGAGGGGCCCAGGAAGGCTTCCCGAGAGACACTGGTCTCTGATGCCCGTCTTGAAGGATGACGAGGGGACCGCAGCAGCGTTGGCAGCATGTCAGAGGCGGGGAGGGGAGAAGGAGCACGGTCAGGAGAATGCACGTTGGGGTGAGCGTGGGAGTAGCACAGGTGAGGCCAAGGGACGAGCAGGCCAGATGGGCCAGGACAGCGGGCACCGCCGAAGGTTAAGCAGGGAGGTCATGTGACCCATCTTTTTAAGAAAGGTCTCTGTGGTGGCAGGGTAGAAACTGTCCTGCAGAGACAGGAAGGCCACACATTTATAAATGTCACTTGTAGCTGAATATCTTCAAGGGATGATTTTTTCCTAGTGTAATAGCTGCTGTCTAGAATTAGTTCTTCGTACTGCGTTTGTGTGTTGTCTTTATTATGCGCACGAGTCCTGGTATCTTGCACCAGGAGTATTCGGCAAACAAGGAAGAGAGAAAGAACAGGAGAGCCGTGAGCACAGTGCAGGGGTGGGGGAAGCGGTGTCGGGAGGAATGTTTGCAGGTCACAGCTCACAGAACAAACAGAAATGGGCTCTTGAGGAGCAATGAGTACTGGGGCTGCGCTGAAACTGAACAATGGTCCGCGCTGCAAAGCAGTGCAAATGTTTTCTGTCTCTTCCCTTCCTTCAGTGAAGGAGAGAAAGAATACGAAAAAATAACATCCTGAGGTTTTACAGTCAAAGTGGGGAATATTTTTCCTCCACAGACAATTGAAATGTTAAAAAAATTTTTTTTTCTTAATACAAGAAACTCGTGGAAGAATAACAGTGTAGCCAACTATGTGAACATCAACACTCTCGCCCATCCTAAGGAAGGACAGGAATGTAAGGGCCATTTTCGAAGTATTTAGAATCCTATTTCTACGGCACCCTAGTTTTTGATGATTTACCCTGGATCAGAGGAACTGAGTCATGGGCTTCACACTGGATGTTCCTTTACAGGTTTTATATCCCAAGGTAGAATTTTCGCATGAACAAAAGTACTTGTAAAAGTATCTAACTCTTCCTTGCATGGTAGGCAATGACCTACGGGTCAGCCACTTACAGAAGGTGCGCTGGGCACGAGGTCACTTTCCGTTCTGCCCGTCTGCATTGCTGTGTGAACCCGGACAGACTCGTAAATGGAAGGTTCTTCCACTTTTCTTGGGTAGGGATGTTTCAGGACAATCAGAGTGCCTGAGTGAAGACAAAAGAACATCATCAGAGAACAGCCCCTAAAAGAAGGCCCACATGCTGACGACCAGAGAACTGTGGCTAGATTTTAGCCTCTTGTGTTCCCATCTTTTCACTTGTTCATTTTCTCGACGTTTCTCGAGTTCCAGCTATGTGCCAGGCACTTAAGATGGACGCTGGAGATATAAAGCATGGTGAGCTGATTTCTGTCCTCCTAGGGCTCAGACAGAACTAGCAATGGATATCACTTAATGGGTCGCCATTTAAATGAACAGGGTGAGGAGACCAGGGTCAGAGATACGGGCGACGCATGCTGCGGGTACCCGGGGCCACCCGGAGACCCCTCTATGGAACACTTCGGAAAAGCTTTCAAGGAGGAGGCCACATGGATCCAGACCTTAAGCTGTAACTGGAAGTTTTCCAGGTAGGCTTTATAAAAGCCATGAAAGTAAAACCCAACAAATGCACTGAGGTATGAGAGGATTTAGTCCATAGTCCTTACTTCTCACTGGTTTCAGAACAAACTTGTAACAAATCAGTGGGTCTCAGAAACAGCCGACTCGTTGCATTATCCCTACTGTCTCCTACCACCTAATTAACAAAATAAGCTACATGAAAATTTGCTTTGCTCAAGTGAATGTGACCTGAACTGGCTTATGAGTGATTGCTTTCACTTCCATCTGGAGTAGAAGATCAGGCAGAAAAAGGGTTCCAAAAGGGGCCAATCTTTGGGGGCTTGGGCGCATCCCTCCAAGGCTGAGGGCACTTCTCACTCAACACTTCTGACCTTCCCCCCTCTACACCCTTCCTTTCCCCCAATCGCCCAGCTGCTCAGGACTAGATACTTTACAAAAAGAGTAAGTTAAGTGTTTCTTCCCCCTTGCTATGGTTTTTTGCTTTTTATTTCACTGGGGTCTTGTAAAAGCAGGCCCAATATTGTACCAGACATTCGGGGAGATGTAAAGAATTTAGTAATACATTCAACAAATACTTATTGGGCTCTACTATGTGCCAGACATCTGTCCAGGCAGTGGGAAGACAACAGCAAACAAAGAAGGTATAGCACTTACTCCTCTGGGAGGGGAGCCAGGAAAAAAAAAAAATGAAAAGAAATATGTCAGGTGAGAGCAGTGTTATGGAAACCTTAACAGAGCAAGATAAAGGCATAGCAGGTGATGAGGGTGACGTTGGGGAGAGGGTGATATTTCATAGGGGTGGTCAGGAAGGTTTCTTTGAAAAGATACTTCAAAAGATTATAGAAAGTGTGGACCCTGGGCGCCTGGGTGGCTCAGTCGGTTAAGTGTCTGCCTTCAGTACAGGTCATGATCTCAGTGTCCTGGGACAGAGTCCCACATGGGGCTCCCTGCTCAGTGGGGAGTCTGCTTCTCCCTCTGCCTCTCCCCCCCTGCTCATGCTCTGTCTCTCTCTCTCAAATAAATTAAAAAAAACTAAAAAAAAAAGTATAGACCTTGAAGTGGAGTAAGAGGGACAGTGAGGACAGAGAGCGATGACCTCTGTAGTTAAAAAGCACATGATAATAATAATACACCTACAAACAAAGCCAAACGATTCTACGGTGCTCGGTGCTCAAGTATGCACAAAGTACTGACTGCGAAAACCAAACAGTGGCCCCTGATAGCAGGCCCATGGGACGCCCCACGGTCACTTGAAAAGGAGCACTGAGAAAAGCCAGGAGAGGGTCTCTGATCTTGGTGACTCCGGCCTCCTTCTTCTGCATCCAGTTCACACCCGTAGCATTGGGATCGCAATGAAAAAATGGCTTTCACAGGTATCTGAAGCCTAGGTCCCGCACTTGCCATTGTCAGCGCTCTCTTGTCAATGTGATCCTTTCATGAGAACAGTTCCAGTCATATCAGGACAAGGGGCCAGCGACAGGTTTACAGTGTTAGAGTCATAATGAAAGCAGAGACGCCTAAATCAAGAGCAGCCGTTGTACGGGTTCAGGGGCTGTGGGACACCATCACAACGTGCCAGATGCTCATGCACGTGGGTCTGGCTCCACGGTGCCCCCGCCCCAGAGATCTCCCCGCCCCCGCCGCGATGTGCCCGGCGGTCACCATGGCCTCACAGAAAGAGCCACCACTGCCACTCAGTACCTGTTGACCCTGGACAGTCATTCTAGCTTCTGTTTCCTCCTCGGACACCTGAGAATAATTACCCTTTCTTCACAAGGCTGTTCGAAGCAGCGGATAAAAAGTGTTTGTGAAAGGATTATGAAAATGTGAGATGTTATTATGCGTTGATATAGAGTATTTTTAAATTCTTAAATAAAAACCCAATGATTGCATCTCTGGAACATGCATTTTTAAATGTCGAGTTAAAAAAGACCTGTGTGTGACATTCTGCCAAGAATGAAAATGGCAGAGTCTCGTAGCCACGGACGGCAGCTCTTAAGGACACATGGGCGCCTCCTAAACACTTCCAACTGACAGTGGAGGAGAGGGGCCTGGAGCCCAGGGCTCAAAGCAGTTTCCAAGTTAGAAAAAATGTGAACTCTCATGCTTTCTCTTCAAAGATGATGCAAAAATTTTCATCCTTTTCCATATGTTTAACATGAAAATAATTTTTTTTAAAGATTTTATGTATTTATTTGAGAGAGAGAGCACATGAGGGGGGGGAGGGTCGGAGGGAGAAGCAGACTCCCCGCTAAGCAGGGAGCCCGATGCGGGACTCGATCCCGGGACTCCAGGATCATGACCTGAGCCGAAGGCAGTCGCTTAACCAACTGAGCGACCCAGGCGCCCTGAAAATAATTTTTTAAATGATGCTTTGGAAAGATGTACCTAGTCGATCCTGGTTTTGCACGTAACAGAGCAAACTACCCGTAGTGGCTTCCCACTGCTTCTGTAACAAATCATCACCACTGCAGGGACTTAAAGAAACAACTCAAATTTATTACCTCACAGTTCTGGAGGTCAGAAGTCTGAAATGGGTCTCACTAACCTAAAATCAAGGTATTGGCAGTGCTGCTTTCCTTCTGGAAAGGCTCTAGGGGAGAATCCACTCCCTGTCTTTTCTAGCTTCTAGAGGCTGCCGCCATTCCTTCCCTGGTGGCCCCATTTCTTCAACTTCAAAGCCAGCAATAGTGCGTGTGAGGCCTGCCCACACTGCCATGTCTCTGGGTCTCCCCCTACTACCCCCGTCTTTCACTTATAAGGACCCTCATGATTACAGTGGGCCCACCTGGAAAACCCAGGCTCACCTCCCCATCCAAAGTCAGCTGTCTAGTAGTCTTAATTCCATCTACAAACTGAATTCCCTCTTGCCATGTAACATACGTATTCACAGGTGCAGGGAGAGAGATGGGCATCTTTTTGAGGGGGGAGGCATTTTCTTGACTACCCCATATCAGTGCCTGGGAGATAAGCATAGCCTTGGGGGCCAGTTGTGTTCAGTATAAGGATCTCTGGGCAGGGGTGCTACCTGAGCCACAGTGCTAGACCCGCTTGGTATTATAAAGCCATTGCCTTTTCAAGAGGTGCATTTCCCACCCCTGAGAGTCCCTTCAGAGCAGGTATGGTGCCAAGTTTATCTTTCTATCCTCACCTCCCAACAGAGATGCTGACATAACTTGATCAGTGAGTGGATCAATGAATGCCACCGTAATTCAGGGTTAGGTCAGAGAAGAGCTTGGGAGGAGGCAGCCTCCCAGGGCCACAATCACCCTGCCCTGGGACAAGCACAGGACCACAACGTCAAGTACAGCTGTCTGAATCTCCACTGGGAGGAACCATATTCTATTTCGAAAACCTCTTCTAAAGTTTAACCAACAAAAAGCTAAACTGAGGGAAATGATAATGAGTCAACAGGAAAGCAGAACAGAGTATCGATCGATTTTAACTAGTAAGACCATGAATGAGGCTAGACTGAATGGTGGAACCAAGAAAATGGCAGTCTACTTATAAAATGATAGCTTCCACCGATAGTCCCGCCTCCTAAAGACCGGTCTTCTTACCTGACGGTTTTGTACAAGAAAACGATACATGCACTTCTTGGCATGGCTGCTGGGCTTACAATGATTTCCCCTTCTATAGAGACTGCCCCATCCTTGTACACCGGGGTAGATCCCCACAGACCCTGGGTGTCCTCCACAAACACCTCACCCGGGTGCACTCACGGGACTCACTTCTCCGGGGATCTACTTAGTTACTTCTCTGGAGAGAAGACCCACTAACTTCAGTTTCTGAGCTACATGAAGGAGACTGTTTTTTCCTGCCTTTGACATAAAACGTCATCTCAGAAACTCTCTGTGGAGGTACATTTTTGAGGTGATCAGAGCAGGAGCTTTTCAGTTCGCTGAAAGCTTCAAAGTTGCCATGATCATGAGGCTGATTCTTTATTGTCTCTTGGTGTTCATTCTGCTTTTATTTTCTGGGACAGAATACTAATATCCTTACCAAAAAAAAAAAAAAAAAAAATTCCACTTCTCTCCCTGTACTACTCTCCTCCTGTTTTTTTGTGTTTGCTTTTTTAAATTCAACTAGCCAAGGTTAGTTTCTGTCATTTGCAATCAAAAGAACCTTAGAAAATGTAGCCACCACAGACTCATTATATTTCCACCTAAGGTCCAAGGTAGGGCCTTGGCTCTGTACTGGAGGAACTCGGAGCGAGTGATACTCAGGCCAAATTAACTCCAGGATTTGGTGGGAAAATTCAGATACAAAGTCACAGGAGGCAGGGGCTGGTAGAGGGAGGAGAGAGGAAACCTGGCTGAAAGTTTCACTTCAGTTTCTGAGCTACATGAAGGAGATTGTTGTTTCCTGCCTTTGACCTGAAACCTGGTTTCAGAAGCGCTCCATGGAGGTACCTTTTTGAGGTGATCAGAGCAGGACCAAGGCAGGCTTTTCAGTTTGCTTTGGCTGCACTGTTAACTTACAGGACACCCACTCTGTATGCGACATTGTGACATTGCATGGAAGCACTCCCTGGCTTGTATCCCTGCAGGATCTCAGCAACACAGTAAGAACAGCCTCAAACCTCAG